TCCCTCTTCAGTGCTTTACGAAGCCGTCTACTTGTTCCCTGGCTTTCAGTACTTCCACTCGTGCCATTTGTACTCTCCATGGTTAAGTATGACCAAAACAGTAACCACAGAAACCACAACAATAACAATCAGACAACAATTCTTATAAAAACACACAATATGCGATCGCTCAACGAAACACGTTCCAATGCGTTGCCGACGCCTATGAGTCTGCCGGTCGACGCGCGTCTTTGATTTCATTGGTTCTACCGGCGGAGAACAATCAGTCATTATTTCCATCTCTGTCTGTGCTGTTGACCACCGCAAAGCCACAGAAACGACATATGTCGTACGCTATATGGCTGTACTGGAAGGAAGCCGGGATCGAGCTCTGATCACGTGTTGATCACGCGTATGAGTCATTACAGTTTTAAATAGTTGTAGTATAGCATTATTTTACCAGTTGTCGTTATGGAGCCTTGGACGGTGGAGCATCGCGTTTTCGCCTATGATTGTTTCGTCCGAAATAATGAGTCAGTCATCGTCGTACAGCGTGAGTTTCGTGGCCACTTCAACATTCATCGGAATAGAGCTGTTCCCTCTCGAAACACCATCCTTCGTTGGGTTGAATCACTTTGCAAGCGTGGTGAACTGATCAACAGAAGACCAAGAGGAGCGCCGCGAACAGTTCGAACTCCTGAAAATGTTAAACGCGTTCGACAGGTCTTTCTTCGCAGACCGACTCGATCTGCCCGGAAACATGCTGCTGCACTTCGCTTTAGTCATCGTTCGGTAAGGCGAATTTTGCATATGGATCTCGGCTTTCACCCCTACAAATTGGCCATTGTGCAACAGTTACAGCCCGGAGATTATGCACAACGAATGAACATTGCACGTGAGATGGAAGCACTGATCGATCAAAATGAGAACCTCATTTTGTTCATGAGTGACGAAGCCCACTTTCACCTAAACAGCATGGTTAACCAGCAGAATTGTCGTTATTGGGCTAATGAAAATCCGCAACAGTTACACGAAAGACCGCTGCACTGCCCAAAAGTAACGGTTTGGTGGGCTGTATCGCAAACTTGCATCATTGGCACGTACTTCTTCGAAGACGGTAATGGTCGTGATGTTACCGTGAACTCAGAGCCCTACGTCGACATGATCACCAACTTCTTTCTCCCTGAATTACGACGGCGACGTGTTCCAATCCGACGTGTGTGGTTCAGGCAGGAGCATCCATGGACGTTATTCGCCCTCTCTTCCCTGGTCGCCTTATTTCCAGGTTTGGCGATGTTCATTGGCCTCCTCGGTCCCCAGATTGATCCATATGCGATTTTTTCTTATGGGGATACCTCAAGGCTAGAGTATACGCGAACAAGCCCCGAACTCTGGACGAATTGAAGGGCGTGGAAGTTGAGAGAGCGATGTTGGAGAGAGTCTACGCGAACTTCCAAGAACGCCTCCAACACTACATCAACGATTTCGGCCACCACATGCCTGATGTGATTTTCCACACTTGACTGTCTCAACTATTTTAAGATTTTTTTAAAATCGTCCATCCTCTCTGCCGCACCCTGTACTTAAAGACGGATTGATTATCATTACTTCTTTGGCAATTGCTTAGAAGCTTAGTAACTACTATCACATAGCTTCTAGATTTTATCAGACACATTTTTTACACCCCTTTTGGGGCAATCGAAAAATATTTTGGTACACACTTCTAAGTTTTAAAAAATTCACCTAGAGGTGACCTTGAGTGTATACCTTGGTCATGACCTTCAAGAATGTTTTTTTGATGGAAACGTTATTTTTGTCACCGGAAATATAAAGGGCTTGAAATGTTACTTTCCAATGCCATTTCCTTGTGAAGCTGATTCCATCAATAAATTTGTTTTCGAGTAAAAATTAACTATTTTATGATTTTTTTAAAACCGTCCATCATCTCTGCCGCACCCTGTACTTAAAGACGGATTGATTATTATTACTTCTTTGGCAATTGCTTAGAAGCTTAGTAACCACTATCACATAGCTTCTAGATATCCGCCGATTATCAGACACATTTTTTACATCCCTTTTGGGGTCAGTCGTTACAATTCTCATGGAATACAAGTTTTCCAATACGATTCTTATTGAATTTTTGACTAGTTCTCCTGAAACCATGTCAGCGTTGGAGTTCAATAAGGATCGGTCTTGCTTCCGACATTGTTCCTCTTAAAAATCGACGACCTTTCTGTACGATCAATCCGATCCGCAGCTTTGCTGATTGACAGCACTCTACATGCGGGAATTGCAGAGTTACAAGCCGATCTCTGCCGGTGAGCTGGAGAAGAAAAGATGTTATGTACCTTGAGTCAGAAGAAGCGCCCTAGCGTCATCCGGTTTCGATGAATGGCCGAGTTCACTTCGGATGGTCAGAGTCCAGATCACCGAGGACTTGATCTGGCACGAAACAACATCGTCAATAGCGGCAGCTGCTAGGAAAAAGCTAGGCTAGTTCTTTAGGGTTAAGTAGTTATTTTCTACATACAGGGTGTTTCAGTTTATTGTTGCATAACTATAAGATTCGATAGAACTTTTAAAATGAACGCATAAAGTCTATATCAACATGGGTCGAAAAATGCGTGGCTTCCGAAATACAGGGTGTTTAAATTTACTTTCTAAAATAGTTTTTTTTTAAATATTTCGAACAATATTTGATTTATAACAGTGAAAATTGGTATACAAGGGTTTTTTGTACGACAAAACGAACCATGGGCATAGTGTTACTGTAGCCACTAGAGGGCGTTCTCTACTGTACCTGCAGTGTATTAAAATGAAAAAAACTGATTTTTCGCACTTTTCAACATAAAAAAGCTCTCTTGTGAATGTTCGTTGTATATAGCCGTTTTTGAGATATTTTGATTTTTAAGGTTCGATGCATTTTTTATTATTTATGATAAAATAACGTTAAAAAGTCAGTATCTCGACAATTTTTAGAAGTAGGCTGTGCCTGCAAATATTTTTGAAATTGAAAGCAAAATAAGGTTAAACGTCAGTTAGTTTTGTTGTCTGTTGAAACCTGAATCGTTCTTTTGCAATTGTGAATGCACGAAATTGAGTTTCTTTTACCTGTTTTTTTTTGTAAGTTTTATAAAAATGCCATTTTTATTCTCCAATCAAGAGTTAGCGGATATCCATCTTGTGTATGGATTTGTAAATGGAAACTCAGCAGAAGCAGCCAGAGAATTCGCACGAAGATTTCCAAACAGACGAAATCCAACTCGCTCAGCATTTTTAAGAGTGCATCGCCAAATAATTGAAAATGGTTTTGGAAATCTCCAAAGGGATCAAAACATAAATTTTCGTCAGCGCAGATTTACCCGTATGATTCTGCGTGGGTTTGATAGAGATCCGACCACAAGTGTTAGGAGAGTTTCTGGTGCCTTGGGAATTTCAGCAAGCCATGTTCACCGTGTTCTTAGAAATGACCATAGACGTCCTTACCATTTGCAACCTGGGCAAGGACTACAGCCAGGGGATGGAGAACGAAGAATCACATTTTGTCAGTGGATTCTTGATAGAACTGATAATAATAGGGAGTTTTAAGTACCGTTTTATGGACCGATGAGTCATGCTTCACTAGACGAGGAGTGGTAAATTTTCATAATCAACATATTTGGTCGCATGAAAATCCGCATGCAGTTCGTGAAAGAAATTTTCAGCATGAATTTAGTGTGAACGTGTGGATTGGTATATACCGTAATCGACTATTTGGACCCTACCTTTTGCCTGCAAGGTTAAATGCTGCGACCTTCTTGGAATTTTTAAAGGCTGAACATGCAAATATGTGGGATGATGTTATGTTAGATTTAAGAAGATTGGCCTGGTTCCAGCTTGATGGTTGTCCAGCTCATTATTTGAGAATAGTTAGAAGCTGGCCTCCTCGATCCCCTGACCTAAATCCATTAGATTTCTTTGTGTGGGGATTTCTAAAAGAAAAAGTGTACCAGACTCCTGTAACCACAGGAATGCATGTGATGAAATAAGGCCTTATTTGAATAATGCTATACCACGTTCGATCATTCGAATTGTGTATTGAACAATTGGGTTTACATTTCGAGCAACCACTTTAGATTTTGTATGTTTGTCCTAACTATCCAATAGCATTTTAGTTGTAAATAATTAATTTAATTTGTTAAAAATAATATTGGAAAATTAAACAAATTAATATTCTGTTTCTTTGTGTTTATTTGTAGCTAGGAATTATTGCTGTGTTTAAAAACACAATCTAAACGATCATCTTGATTTTTTGTAATGCCCAAATCGAAAATGTAAAAAAAATATTATTTTCCCATAAATAATTAAAAATGCATCGAACCTTAAAAATCGAAATATCTCAAAAACGGCTAACTATAACGAAAACTCACAGGAGAGCTTTTTTATATTGAAAAGTGCGAAGAATCAGCTGTTTTATTCAAAAAGCAAAAAATTGCACTAAGAAAAAATTTTCGGACATTTTAATACACTACAGGTACAGTAGAGAGCCCCCTCTAGTGGCTACAGAAAAACTATGCCCATAGTTCGTTTTGTCGTACCAAAAAACCCTTGTATACCAATTTTCACTGTTATACATCAAATATTGTTCGAAATATTTAAAAAAACTATTTTAGAAAGTAAATTTCGGAAGCCACGCATTTTTCGACCCATGTTTATATAGACTTTATGCATTAATTTAAAAAATTCTATCGAATCTTAAAGTTATGCAACTATAAACTGAAACACCCTGTATAACCACCTCACTCTGTACAAGGCCCAGATCTAGCCTCCAGTACTGCTCACGCATTTAGGCGACTGCCGTCCCGACTACATTATCCATACAATTGTAGGGCGCGTTTATGGCCTCCTTGATTGTCATACTTCTTTCTCTCCTTCAAAAATTTCTAGATTAAGACATTTGAAATACATCGCCTTATTTGATTTTAATGCTACAGATCATGAGTTTCGTGTTTTTATGTCTGTTCTATGTCAAAACGTGGCTTGTCTGCCTTAATGGCAAGTGTCACAGTCACTTTTAATTAACCATCATTTTTTGCATTTTTTTCCCCTAATTAGTGTTTTTACGTTTTTCTAGATTTTTTCAATTACCTTTTAGTGTAGTTAGGGATGCCTCGAAGCAGTGACCGACAGTTAACCAATTTTGACGTGTCTCTGTATTTGGACAGAATCACATTTGACCAGTTACAGGTAATCTCAAGTTTGTATTTAAGTGTGCCTCTGATTTTTTAAACTAATTAAAGATACATAGGTCAGAATATCATTTATTCGATAACTTCCAAAAATTTTCTGAGATATTCACTTTTTGCACTGTTTTAAACGTATTCCCGTCTTGTCTACCTGCAGAAATCACCGTCTCAAGATGATGCAGAGGCAATACATTTCTGGCATATTTTCGAATCCTCCGAGAGTTTTAATTTAAGGGCAACATTGCACAATTTAAGTATTTTGTCATCTGAAACTGAAGAACCAGGAGAATGTAAGTTATCACTATATTTGATCAAATTATGCTATCACACGTTCATGTCACTATTACTGTCGCTACGTACTCTCAGTATGCATGCGATTGAGAGGTGATGAATACTATCAGATCATACAGACATACATATATGCTATGTACCATTTGCAAATATCAGCATTGCTTAACATATTCTTCAGGAGTTTGTCCATTCTTATGCTGTAATTGGGTGTTTATATACTAAGTGACATATAAATCCGAACACCCAGTTTAAATTGTTTTATTTTAATAAAATTTTGTATAATTACTTAATGAAGCATAATAAGTAAATGATAAAAATTTCAAAATGATTGCACTGCTTTAAATCCCTTTGACCTTTAATAATGTGTGGATGCACCCTGATGTGCTACGCATTCTCCAACGCGCCTAGGCATGCTTCTGATCAGGTGGTCAATGTCCTCCTGTGGTATTTCATTCCAGGCAACCACCAACTCCTCTCGAAGTGCTTCTAGAGTCTGAGGAGGACATTGCAAATTGGGCAATCTCCTACCCATCATATCCCACACGTGCTCAATTGGGGATAAGTCGGGAGGTCTTGGTGTCCATGGTAACAATGTGACATCATTATGTTGAAAGAAGTCTATTGTGACTCTTGCAACATGTGGTCGGGCATTATCTTGTTGGAAAGTTGGATCTGCCAGGGTGTCAAGATAGGGTAAAAGATGGGGTTCTAGAACTTCGTGGATATAACGCTGCGCGTTCATGTTACCTCTGATGAAGATTAAAGGTGACCTGGAACCATAAGCTATAGCACCCCAAACCATAACTCCAACAGTGTGATGAACATGTCTTTCAACAAAAAACTGTGGATTCCTCCTTTCACCACGTCGCCTTCTAACCCTGGCACGACCATCGTGCATGCCTAAACAAAATTGAGACTCGTCACTAAAGACAATACTGTTCCATTCCTGATCCCAGAGTGACCGTTGTCTGCACCACTCAAGGCGATTACGTCGGTGTTCTCGAGTTAAAGGGAGGACCCAGTGTGGCCGGTATTCATTCATAAGCAATAGACCTGGTAGTGGAGAAACGGTCCCTTAAGGACAATAATCTTAGGCGGCGATCTTCACGATCTGTTGTTCTACGGCGGCGTCCAGTGCCCTTGCTCTTTGCGTACGGCCTTCTCGAAGCCATGCCTGACAACACCTAACCACAGTGTTTACACTTCTTTGCACTCTAACTGCAATTGCCCGAAAAGAAAGTCCAGCTTCCCGAAGACCCACTATACGGCCCCTATCAAACTCACTAAGTTGACGAAATCGTACAGGTCTCCGTACTCTAGGCATCGTAACTGATCGTAAAGGATGTCAAGAACCAAAATCCGCTAACGTTGATTCTTTACTGCGGCTGAAATATTCATTTTTAGAGCGTTAGTGAATTAAAAAAAAGCAGTATAAAAACCGGAATGTCCAAATGATAAGGCTGAAAATTTTTTCACTTGTTATTTACAGTAACATAAATACATTCACCAACTTTTATTAAAATAAAACCAATTAAACTGGGTGTTCGGATTTATATGTCACTTAGTATACACAATTTTCAAGTAGAATCGTAATAATTTCCCTAGAGCAAGATTTTACTAACAGGAGATCAAAATTCTTGACCCGGATCATAAGGCATCTTTCTAGTAATGGATCTAATGAATATAGTCGAATGTATCTAAAATATACCTCATACTAGCGAAAAAATATACGATTTGTGTAAAAAGGGCATCTAGTCCCCATATTAATTGAAGAAATTCTTTACAAATCATCTGCTTTAGGTACAAAATTATATGTTTCAGTTGCCGCCCGAATCGTGGATCAAATCTGATATAATGCCTAGATTGATATATCAATTACTGAGCACTTATTTGGCACACACATCCTGTGTGTGCGCGAGATATTAATATCTCAAAAAATATGTTTACTAGAGAAAAATATTGTAGTACCCAGTTCTAGGTTAATAAAATTCACCTAGAGGTGACCTTGAGTGTATACCTTGGTCATGACCTTCAAGAACGCTTTTTTTGATTGAAACCCTATTTTTGTCACCAAATACAGGGTGTCCGTAAAGTTGGGGTTTTCCTTTTCAGAAACAACTACCCTTGAAATAACAAAGGTAATGTGTAGTGAAACGAGGGCGACCAAGTAAAAAAAAATAAAGGAAAAAGTACTCACTCTCCAGTTGACGAGAAGGGCTAAGTACGTCTCTGCCCGCTCCAACAGAAAATGAAATCAGCTGATGCGCTACCGAGCAGACGCAGGCAAACAAGGAAGGCAAAATGTTGCGTAAAAAGTCTAGGTATTGCATCCCGTCCAATCGATTTGGGAGAATAAATGGTCCAATGAGCATACCGTTCACCATGCGAGCCCAAACATTCACCGAAAATGTTTGTTGAAAATGTGCACGACGGACAGCGAGCGGATTTTCTACTGACCAAACATGAGTGTTGCGAAAGTTATTCACCCCATTACGCGTGAACGTAGATTCGTCTGTCACCAATATGCACTTCAAAAAGTCCGGATTGTTGTCATGTTGATGCAACAACCAGTCACAAAACCGCACTCTTGCTGGAAAATCGTCAGGTTGAAGGGCTTGTACACGTTGGACGTGAAACGGATACAGCCCCTCTTCACGCAACGTTTGCCACACTTTAGTTTTTGATACTTGCACTTCTCTAGCCACGTCTCTAGTGCTTGTTAAGGGATTCTCGTCTACGCGATTACCTCTACACGCGTGACCGTAACCGTCAGTTGAAGGTTGTATACTGACCTGACACACTGACCCCCACTCAGTTCTGTCGTCGGGTTGAGCTAGTGTCCTAGTACCACTCGGGGATATCGCGGCTACAGGACGGTATTCAGATATGTTTGATGTTGCAGAGCCCTTTATCTCGGTTCCCTTAAAACATTGGTGTATATGGTACTAAGAAAAATTGCTTATGTTTTCAAGATCTACACGTCGTGTAAAGGAAAACCCCAACTTTGCGGACACCCTGTATATAAAGGACTTGAAATGTTACTTTCAAATGTGCCCTTGCTGATAACTTTGACATACACTTTAAGTCCATAAGAGAGCTTCAAAAAGTACGAAGGACACACTAACTCGAAAAAATATGCTTCCTGAAATTACAGAGCAAACTTGTGAGATTTGAAAAGTGTCATCTAGTGATGACCTTGACCTTGACCATCTCCTCCAAGGCCTTACAATAGTCGGTGATTTACCGGGACGTGAAATTACTTTTCTGGAAGCAAGTATACTGATATCCCGTTAAAAATGCATTTACCCTTCAAAACACCTCGACGGTCGTAGTCAAGGTGACCATCAAATCAATGAGTAGTTATACCAAGGCAAGGCATTTCGTGGAATGCATTTATAATCCGCCGGTCGACCCCATTGACCTTGGGAATCATTTGCATAGGAAACCGATCGTAAATTTTTTGGTACATCATCGCGTACGTATATGATATGGTAAGAACTAGTCGCATCTTATGTATTTTGACCAGTTTTTAACAGTCCATAGCAGTACGTGATGTAACCAAAACTTTGCGGCCGGCTCTTGGACTATTAGTGGAAAAAATATGCTTCCTAAAATTACAGAGCAAACTTGTGAGATTTGAAAAGTGTCATCTAGTAATGACCTTGACCTTGACCATGTCCTCCAGGGCCTTACAATAGTCGGTGATTTGCCGGGACGTGAAATTACTTTTCTGGAAGCAAGTATACTGATATCCCGTTAAAAATGAATTTACCCTTCAAAGCACCTCGAAGGTCGTAGTCAAGGTGACCGTCAAATCAATGAGTAGTTATACCAAGGAAAGGCATTTCGTGGAATGCATTTATAATCCACCGGTCGACCCCATTGACCTTGGGAATCATTTGCATAGGAAACCGATCGTAAATTTTTTGGTACATCATCGCGTACGTATATGATATGGTAAGAACTAGCCGGATCTTATGTATTTTGACCAGTTTTGAACAGTCCATAGCAGTACGTTATGTAACCAAAACTTTGCGGCCGGCTCTTGGACTATTACTGGAAAAAATATGCTTCCTAAAATTACAGAGCAAACTTGTGAGATTTGAAAAGTGTCATCTAGTAATGACCTTGACCTTGACCATCCCTTCCAAGGCCTTAAAATAGTCGGTGATTTACAGGGACGTGAAATTACTTTTCTGGAAGCAAGTATACTGATATCCCGTTAAAAATGCATTTACCCTTCAAAACACCTCGAAGTTCGTAGTCAAGGTGACCGTCAAATCAAAGAGTAGTTATACCAAGGCAAGGCATTTCGTGGAATGCATTTATAATCCGCCGGTCGACCCCATTGACCTTGAGAATCATTTGCATAGGAAACCGATCGTAAATTTGTTGGTACATCATCGCGAACTGATATGATATGGTAAGAACTAGTCACATCTTATGTATTTTGACTAGTTTTTAACAGTCCATAGCAGTACGTGATGTAACCAAAATTTGGCGGTCGGCTCTTGGACTATTACTGGATTACAAACAAGCATCATCCATAGATATCGAGGCGGTGTTGCCAAGCTGCCATAAAATGTTTATAAAACGCTACATTTATACTAAGCAGAATGGAGATCAGTTCTTTCACAGATACTAGTAGTTACGTCAAAAACTCGAAATAAATAAACATATCATTTTAAGGCCAGGATGTCTAGATAACCCGCGACCAGATCTAATATACCAATGATTGATCAAATAAGGAATTGAAAACAAAAAGTAAATTTGAACAAAAAAATGTTCACTAGTTTTCGCTGCAAGTGATGGTGAAACGAATTCGTTGAAAAATGATTATCTATCTGACAACAACGCATTTATTTCCGTCGAAATGAGAAGAGCCGTGTTTAGGCGCCATCAACTGATTTATGGATGCCATGTTTTTGCAGTCATCTCTTGTCTCTCTCTAATTTAATTCTTCTCGTCTAATTGTCTTCTCTTAATACAACTACTCTTTGGTTCTTTGGTCAAATAGATGATAGTGACCTTGACCAAGAAATGTTCTACTTTTTCACTCCGTCAACAAAAAGTAAAGAATTCGCTTGGAAGTTTTGTATGACCTTGATCATGACCTTCAGTAAGTTGGTGGAGGCGCCACGGTATATATCTGGTGGAACATGTTAATCAATAGCTCTTCCCGAGCATTTTCTAAACCATAACAGATTTCACAACGTTTCCTAGTATTTCTTCACGATGCAGAGCTCTCAGAGCTACAAAGGAAAAAGCCTCTCAGGGAAAAAATGAAACACTTGATTGTACACCGTCGAGGAGATGTAATGACAAAAGATGAATTTGAAAACGAAGCTGACAGATTATACAAATGCTGCTTGAGGAGTTGCACAGACATGCATGAGTTACATATCAGGAGACTTATCGGTAACCATACAACGTGTTTTACAACAACAGCCTGAACGGTCCCGTGCCATGCTGAAATCGCAAAGTCCAGGACCGCCTGGGATCAGGCTTTCCATATTGAGGGTTTTTTTCCAAATACTTTCACTACACCCTGTATTGTGTTTGTCACTTTTTTTATGTGTATCTTTGAAAAAGGCCATCAAGGATCAAGGTAGTCGAAACTTTAATCAAAACACAGACCTACATATATGAATTCATGTAACAGTCAGAGAACATGGAGAATTATAAGCGTGAAAATTACAAGATAAGCTTGATATGTTACATTAGCAGTAGTATATCTGCATTTAATGCAAATATTTCCAGACCAAGTAGTATCTAGAACGCTTGTAAGATTCACCGATGTGATTTTAGGAATGGAGATTTTAGCTGACATGATGCAGAGAGTGAATATCACGTATATTAACTTAGTAAACATTATGCATATCATCTGGTCCATAATGAGTTGTATGCATCATTTCCAGTTGAGACTGAAGTTAAATACTTATAAGATTATCCAGAAGAGCAGGCGGTAAGTAAAGATAAGCAGTATGTCCCAGAAATCGACGTCAAGCCGGAAACGGGGGATAGGTCAAGTCATAATAACATAAACATAGAGAAAAATCTAAGTCAAGTAATTAGGCTTTAAAAAAATGTCAAAAATCTACACCCTTTGATGATTTTTTAGTTCCCATTACTACAAGTCTCAATATTTTTTCTTAGACGGAGTGGCAGACAGTGTCATTCTACGTAGTGACAGAAAGAACGCCACTTTTATTGACTCATGATTGTGTACACCGTACAGGAATAGGCCAACATGCACCTCATTTATGGGGAATTTAGAGGCATGCTAGTGCTGCATACAAGTGGTACCGACAAGACCGCTGCTGATGCGGAATACCCGAGCTGATGGATAGGGCGGTCTGGTACAATTCCATGGCATGCCCATTCATCTGACTTAGTTGACTCAGTTCCATTTGTGCTTTTAGTGACGAGCTGCATATTCGAATGTTGCCGTTGTTAGTGTAGTATTTATGACGTTGGATCAATTATGCTTAGCATATTTCTCGCTCTGAATGAAACACTTTATAGGGGAGTTACTGCGAAAGAGACTGAATGGGAAGAAAAGTTCGAAATTTCATTTATGCAGCCATATTTAAGTCAATGAAGGGCATTTATACCAAACATGTTCTTAATATCAGCTTGGTGGTGTGCTATTCTTTTCAAATATTATGTCAAGTGTTCAAAATATATCAGTAGGGGTACCACAGGGGAATAAATTAGGGCCGTTACTATATATTATTTATATAAATGATATCTGTGGCATTTTAGAACACTGCAAAATTCAAATATTTGCGGACGATACACTGATATATATGCTACATATATATATATATATATATATGCTATATATATATATAGATATGCTATATATATATATATATATATAACTTGAGACGTGGTCATTGTCGTCTAGACCAGTTAGGTGAAAAATTAAAGCTTCCGCCTTTTGTTGGGTACTTCGACAAAATTTAAGCAAAGAGGACTCTTTATACTTTTTTTAATTCTCTCTAGCTTTCAATGGACTTTGCCATCATCATCAGGAGAGTAGTATGTGAGGATGTTGCTAATTGTTGTTTACGTATAGGATGAGGGAAACGTCCAGTAACATGGTGAGAGCTGGATAGATTGTACAATGGTCAAAATTATATAAAATATGACAAGTTAAAAACAGATTAAAAATTATTTAAAAAACATTAGAGCATTACATCGTGAAGCCACTTGATGATTGCACAAATTAGTGGTCATGGAATATATATATAGCACATAAGCGTTTAGACACTGCTTTAGAACTGTTAAATAGTCATATTGAAAGAATTATGAATCGGTTAAATGTCAATAAACTTAAATTAAACACTAATAAACCAAAATGTATGTCAGTAGGGAAACATTTAGGTGCCAATACAATTAGGCTCATGATCAATGATAAAAAAATTGAAGTAGTCGAGTCATTTAAATATCTTGGTATATATGTAGATAGTAAGCTACTGTTTCACGAACAGTATGAATACATTATTTCAAAAATATCTAAAAATATAAATAGAGTTTCCCATAATCTTAGTATGTATTCCAAAAAAATTGTGTATAACACTATAATTCTTCCCCATGTTTTATATTGTTCAACCGTCTTGTTTACAGCAAATGAAAACATATTTTCAAAATTACAAATTCTACAAAATAAAGCTTTAAGAAACATTTTAAATAAAAACAAATATGCTAGGATTAAGCCTATGTTAAAAGAACTGCAGTGGTTGGGTGTGAAAAATTTCATACATTATCTAGATCTCATTTTCAAATTCAAATTAAAAAATCATTTATTACCACCAAATTTAGAGAACTTAATAAAATTAAATAGTCATTATCATAACTACGAAACTAGAGGCAGTATAGATTTTCATCTGCAAAATTGTAATAGTAGCATGACTAGTAAATCTATATTTCAAAAGGGAGTATTTAAATTTAACAAATTGAATAATGATATTAAACAGAGTTCGAATTTAAAAACGTTTAAGGTGAAATTAAAAAATCACTTTAAGAATAATCAAAATACATAGTGACGTAATTTTAATTTTAATAGACAAGAATGTAAAATTGTTGTAGCATTAATGCTAAATAAATCAACAAGAACAACGATAAAGGACTGTTGTGTTAGTGATGTATCATCATTAGTGCAATACTTTGATTAAAGGTTCTAATGAATTCAGGGTGTAATCTTGTATAGTCTATACAGGGTGACTTTGAAGTTGAGTCATTAATTTTCAGATAATGATTGTAGAAGGAAGATAAACCAAAATATGTGTGTAAAAATAAAAAAAAAATGTTACCTTGTTTAATAAAGTATCCTCCCGACAAGTATTTCAGTGCGGACCTGTATTTGATCGTGCGGTCTTGGAGCACAGGCATGCTCTCACCTGTGAGGTCTTAAGTCACCTGATTCACGAGCCCTTTGTACTACATTAACAAAGGCACGAGGGGTTGGTTGCACTCGATTGGGAAACCGATTCGCATAAATCCGTGATGCATCCGGCAGCATTTTGTAAAGACTGCCCCCCGTAAATAAGAATCATGTCCACAAGTTCAGCATTTTCGTAAACATGTGCCATTTTTCATTTCGTTTGAGTCACGCAACAAACATCACTATTCACCCACGCGTTACCGACTGACGAAAAACAACGTGATAAACGTTTCAAATTCATTCGCTTTTTTGTTTCCGATGCGATGAACCGATATCCGTTGTTGCCAAACACATAATATTATTATTGAGACAGGGCGGTACTCAAACTTCCAAAGGGCTATGACTTTGTTACTTTAATTTTACCAGAAAAATGGTAAAGGAAAAAAACATTTCTTTTGATCAGATCTACTCACTGTTAAAATAAATGACTCAACTTCGAAGTCACCCTGTATAAAGGAAGTGGAGTAATCTCTTTGTGCAGGCTTTCAAAGTTTTATTATTAGAAACATAGGTACAATTTTTGTATATTTGATCAAGTGGCCTTATTCAGTTTGAGGTATCCGTTTCCATACTTTCTCAATTTAAAACAAAGAGCTGCTTCTAGTGAATGATAATATATCCTGTTTCTGGACAAGCAGATAAATAATTGGTTGATCCCATATATAATGAGAAAGAGAAAAAATAATTGTTAGGGTCACAAAATTTCGAAAGGTTTTGATTCGAAAATATTAATCATCAATATCAAGTTTTTGAAATGTTCTTACATCTTAAGTTCGCGGAGAATAGACATCATTCGGTAAAATGCAATTGGTTGTTTTAAATTGCAAATATACTAAGTGACATATAAATCCGAACACCCAGTTTAAATGGTTTTATTTTAATAAAAGTTTGTGAATGTATTTATCTTACTGTAAATAACAAGTGAAAAAATTTTCAGTTGGACATTCCGGTTTTTATACTGCTTTTTTTTAATTCACTAACGCTCTAAAAATGAATATTTCAGCCGCAGTAAAGAATCAACGTTGGCGGATTTTGGTTCTTGACATCCTTTACGATCGGTTACGATGCCTAGAGTACGGAGACCTGTACGATTTCGTCAACTTAGTGAGTTTGATAGGGGCCGTATAGTGGGACTTCGGGGAGCTGGACTTTCTTTTCGGGCAATTGCAGTTAGAGTGCAAAGAAATGTAGACACTGTGGTTAGGTGTTGTCAGGCATGGCTTCGAGAAGGCCGTACGCAAAGAGCAAGGGGCACTGGACGCCGCCGTAGAACAACAGACCGTGAAGATCGCCGCCTAAGATTATTGGCCTTAAGGGACCGTTTCTCCACTACCAGGTCCATTGCAAATGAATGTTTTGCAGAACACGGAAGACCAATTTTCATGCGAAGTGTTTACCGACGAATGAGAAGTTTTGGCTTGTATTCATACCGGCCACACTGGGTCCTCTCTTTAACTCGAGAACACCGACGTAATCGCCTTGAGTAGTGCAGACAACGGTCACTATGGGATCAGGAATGGAACAGTATTGTCTTTAGTGACGAGTCTCTATTTTGTTTAGGCATGCACGATGGTCGTGCCAGGGTTAGAAGGCGACGTGGTGAAAGGAGGAATCCACAGTTTTTTGTTGAAAGACATGCCTAGGCGCGTTGGAGAATGCGTAGCACATCAGGGTCCATCCACACATTATTAAAGGTCAAAGGGCTTTAAAGCAGTGCAATAATTTTGAAATTTTTATCATTTACTTATTATGCTTCATTAAGTACTTATACAAAATTTTATTAAAATAAAACCATTTAAACTGGGTGTTCGGATTTATATGTCACTTAGTAATACTATCCAAATATACTTATAAAATAATTCATTAAAGATACTTTTATCTACATTAGTTAATAAATATAATTAAATTGTTTTAATTGAAGCAGATCAACTCATTTAATGCTTCATTGGTGTGCTCAATCTAAGCAAACGGTATAGTAAATGTAATTGAATGATTGCATTTTGATTTAAATAAACTAGTTGCATAGATTTAAGTAAACTGTTTTAGAAATCAGAGTTTCATTTAACCGACTGAACCGGCTAGCCGACACACAGTTAATTTTTTTTAGTTGGCATTATTTATTGGGATAATTTAATTTTTTGCTCAGTGCATTCGCGGTTATACGAGCCCCTTCCCACTTCAGTTGGCCAACTTCAAGATTTGTACCAAAATGTGCCTTATAAACTAAACTATTTACTTCTAAAACAATTTATTTTTTCAAAAACATTTTAGATACACTCCAGTCGTAAAAAATACATATTTGAAATCACTTAGACCTATAACTAATAGAACATCTGAACAAATAAACAATGTGCGAATAAATGCTCGAAGTTAACAAAGCAACAATTGAAAGTACCATTGGGTAACATCACCTTTATTTTTTATTACGGCTGAAATTCTTTGGGGCATAGTGTTACCAAGTTTTGGCAAAAATTTGGTGTAAAACAATCCCATATTTCTTGAAGCTTTTGTCTCAGTTCGGTGATTGTACGAGCAGGATGTTGTCGTAGAACCTTTTTCATTTCGTGCCACAAAGTTTCAATAGGTGACAGATCTGGACTGCTAGAAACCCATTTCAAAAGTGGTACATTATTTTCTTCCATCCTTTTATTGCCAAATATTTGTTTGTATTCACATTTCTATCAATAAAATGAAGTTTTCGTACTCCTTTTGATGACATACTGCCCCAGACCATAATGGATGCTGGAAATTTCACTTTTCTCTTCAGACAGTCAACATGGAATGATTCATTTTTTTTGCAAATAACTCTTCTGCGACTGTCACCAACACAAACTTCGAATCGGGCCTCATCACTCCATTGTATTGCACACCATTGTTGAGGTGTCCATTGTCTATCTTCTTTAGCCCATCTAAGCTGATTTTTCTTTTGCAGTGGAGTTAATAGTGGCTTTTCTTTGGCCTATAAACAAGTTGTGCAACTTTAGGGTTTTTACTTCACTTTTTTTATAAGAAAACGTACCTTGCAAGTGCTAAATCCCAGTTTGTGGGCCTCTCTATGAGTTGTGGACCTCGAAATTCTCCTTCTAACAGCGTCACTCTACAGAGCACTTAATTTTAAATAATTGGCACGCCTGTTTTTCACGATTATTCTTCTTAATGCTATTCGGTCAGCATTTGTGATATTACTGTTTTTCACATATCGTGGCTTAATATTAACTAAACCAGTTACGTTATATCTTCTAACAATATTTCTCACACTGTACCGCGATAAGTCTAACAAAGTTGCAATTTCTGAGTTTGATTTCCCAGAATTAAGAAATTTAATTATCAGTAACCGAATTTTCTCACTAATAACCTTTCCTCTACCCATTTTGAAAACCTTAACTACCCAAAACTATTTTAAACGTATTGTGGCAGCTGTGATTAATAAAAACAATTGTCATGGCTTTTATTTTTCACAGCCACCTATGCGTTATAGACTTATTTTGCATTAAAATGAAAATAGGTTGATATGCTGTAATTGCAACATGTGTTATTTTTATGCTGCAAATTTGATTAGGGAGTGATAAAGTTGGTGTTTTCTACTATATATTATCAAAATATTCATTGTAAATATTTTAAACCTATAACACCCTGCTACATTTTTATTATTTGTGTTTGATAAGAAAAAAACTAAGATTCCAATAGTTGGGAAGGGGCTCGTAGATATTTTTTTTTTCTATTACCAATAGTGTCTGTTCTAGAAAGAAACTGCACCGCTGCATGACCATTTATTGTCAGCTAACAGAAAAATTAAACGACTTCTCCCTACGTCTAGCCCTCAACGCGGTGATGACGTTCTACAAGGAAGGCAAATTATGGGATGTCGATTTCGACTGCATGCAGTTGATCAGTCGGTTGCTAGCTAAGTTTACGAACCCGGAGATAGGATTCCACGATATCATACGTAATTAGCTTATTGGTATGCTAGAGGTATTTCGAAGATTGATGAATATATCTCATTACATTGGACAACGGAAGCTACTACGTGTTTGATTTGCCTTATAAGCGGAACTCTGATGGCACAAGGGATATTCTAAAGTATGCGTTATAACTTTGATACTGTTGTCTCAAAAAAATCAGCCAGTTTTACTGTAATAGATTAATCTGTTTCTAACTTTAGCATCCTTAGTAACACGACTTGATTTCAGGATGATTAACCGTCTAAAAATGTATATTGATGCAAGGTATCTCGGTCATTCCTCTGCCTAGCGCAGCATTTCCGATTAATTATACAGGGTGTAAAAGTTATGATAGCCATTATTTAAATGGGTGATAGAGGGGGTTAGAAGAAGCAAAAAGTTTCATATAACATGGAGGTCAAAACGGCATTTTTAGAGAAAACCAACTTTAAAGTAAAATAAAATCTGGCAACGCCGCAATGCCAGACGCAGATTACGACGGAACGCAGTGTAAATAAAGATGGAGTTTATTACTTTTGGCTCTTAGGTATTATTTCATTATTTGATAATGTACTGTAAAATGCAAACAATAAAAAAACGGACTTACACTAACTGTCTCACCGCTTTACCTGAAGTTTGAAAGTTTATTGAACGTATTAAAAAAATCCACTTATAAATAGGGAACACAATTTTGATACATACATTGTTTTTCTTTTTAAAACCCACACTGCACTTTTTTTGTATTTAAAGGTGTTCAAAATGTCGTCATCCACTTTCCACACAAGCTTCATTACGACGAACCCAGTTTCTTCTTACTCTAGGTCCTCGAAGTTGTCCATTTATTATTTCAGCCGCATTAAATTTTTTTCACGAAGTTGTGCTTCAGTTGTTATTGGACCAGCCCCATAAACCATCCCTTTAAGTTCTCCCCAATACCATAAATCCATCGGATTGAGGTCAGGAGATCTTGCTGGCCATTTTCGAGGATCAGGAGCATTTCGCCCGATCCAGCGATTTGGATAATGTTCATTCAAATACTGAATGACGCCTCTAAAAATGTGTGGTGGTGCCCCGTCATGAAGAAACCACAAATTCTGTCTCCGTTGTAATGGCATGTTGTCTAAGGTGTGTTCCAAAAGTTCTGGTAGATTATTGGCTAGAAATGGTATCCTTCTCCTGACAACTTTGGGGGTAACTCGAAAAGGCCAATTACCTGATCGTCAAGATTTCCCGCCCAAATATTTATTTTAAAACGTTGTTGGAAGTGACCTTCACGAATGATATGATTTTCTTGGGCCCACGTGTGAGTATTATGGAAATTTAATATCCCGTCTCGCGTGAAAGTACATTCGTCCGTCGCTAGAATGTTTTTAAAAAAATCCGGATTTTCAATGTTTTTGTGCAAACACGACTGACAGAATGTTAGTCTGCGAGGATAGTCTTCTGGTAACAAGGCCTGCACTCATTGTACACGGTAGGGATAAAGCAAATTTCCCCGTAGGATTCTAGGGACTATGCGATAGTCCGACGCGGCGGCCTAATTCCCGAGTGCTGATATCTGCAGTGATTTCCACGATATTCAAAATGTTTCTCCTGCTCTACAGTAACCTGTCTTTCATGAGTGCGAATATTAGTGGGCTGAACACTTCCTGTATCTCGAAGTCTTTGGTACACTTACACAAATGTCCTTCTGTCTGGGTGTACCCGTTGGCGAAATGAGTCGCGATAAATTTGAGCTACAAGATTTGAATTCTGACTAGCTTCAGCGTAAACTAACAAAATGTCAACGAACTCTTGATTCGAGAACATTGTAAATAAACACGACGACGTACGCGAACAATAACTAACCACTGTTACCGTTTGCGATCGATTGCCTGTTCGATAAGGGTGATGAATGGCCCACGCGCTGTTGTCATGTGTGTTTTAAATATTAAACTTAATGAAACTTATTTACTGACTACAAATTTTGGCTTAACTTAGAAAAACTTAATACCACTTATTTGTTAATTACCCAATTTAAAAACGTTTTAGATTAGATTATAAAATTTAGTAATATTGTGGTGATTGTGGTCGATGTAAAGCACTTAAATTTGTAAACTATAAAGCCATTTAGACAAAAATCTATTGACTTTTGGACCATGGGTCATATGAACTTTTTGTCTTGTTTTGATCCCTCTATAAAATATAATCCGTGATCCGTAGTCTCGGATGCAGGGGCGGATCTGGAAAATATTTTCAAGGAGAGTATATGGTGAACTTAAAATTACCCGCTCATTAAAGTTCTGATTCATGTTCAGGAAGATAGTAGTAGTAGTAGTAGAAAGATTTATTTAGCACATTTGGCTACATAAACAGAATAATTGTAAACAACTTAGAACTAGTAAATTCAAGCCATATGGTGTATGATGTAAATGCTGGGCAACCTATAATTGTAGATTTAACAAGTGATTTCTCAATTTTACTTTAAATTTTGTCAAAGTTTTCTGGTCTTTTATCTCTGAGTATAATTTATTATATTCAATCAACCCTTGATGGAATACAGATTTGTAGCATATGTTATACTTTTTGGTCATCTTTATTTCTGGTATTATGTAAATGATGGTCGACATTTGATGATGTTAAATTAGTTAGACTTGATGGAAATATATTATTTTTTACTTTATAAATGAATATCATTACAAGATATTTGATAACATTTTTTACATTGAGCCATTTTAATTTGCTAAGCATTTGCCTAATTGGAGTATATTTATCTTTATTTAGTATTATTCTCATGCATTTATTTTGTAAAATTTGCAGTCTTTCAAAAATGGAATTATTTGCTAAATATAGAATAGTCGAACAGTACAAGAAATTTGGAAGGATGATGGTATTATAGATAATTTTTCTGCTATATGAACTCAGACATCCAGAAACTCTCGATAGATATCCCACTTTACTACTAATCTTATTTATAACTTTTTCATAATGAATATCAAAAATTAATCGAGAGTCAACAAAAACCCCCAGGTACTTAAAATTTTCTACGAATTCAATATCTTCACCATCAATATTCAGTTGAACATTTGTACATTGTTTTTTTCCGATTAACAAGGCTTTCGTTTTACTTGTATTCAATTTTAGTCTGTTAGATGCTAACCATTTTGAGACAAGTTTCAAGTCTTCATTTATATAAGAGATACCAGACTGAATATTTTTAGCACTTATATAAATCATAGTGTCATCGGCGAAAATCTGAATTTTGCATTTTTTTACTATGGCAGGTAAATCATTTGTGTATAAAATAAAAATAAGTGGTCCCAGGATACTGCCCTGTGGAACACCCAACGTATTTTCAATTTTTGATGAAATAGTGTCATCAACTTTTGTAACATGCATCCTTTTAGACAAATAATTTCTAAACCAACCTAAAACATTTCCTGTTATACCATATGCCTTCAATTTACCTAACAAAATATCTCTATCAATCGTTTCAAATGCCCTCTTCAAATCCAAAAATACTGCTATGACAACTTCTTCCGAGTCTATGGCTCTTCTCCAATGCTCAGTTACCAACTGGAAAGCCGTTTCTGTGGAATATTTTTTTCGAAAGCCTGCCTGCGCCTCCACTAAAATTTTGTTTTCTTCTATAAACTGCATTACTTGGGCATGCACTATGGACTCTAATAATTTTTCAATGTCTAGTAACACATTTACTGGTCTCATATCGCTGCATCTTTTAGAATTTTTTATTTTGGGAACTGGTGTTATTGTAGAGCATTTCAAATTTTCAGGAAAAGAACTGCTTGTCAGTGAACAATTGATCCAATTTAATACAGGATATCCCAAAATTTCGAAACAGTTTTTCAGCACGTTTTTAGTAGTGATTTCGGCACAGTTGTTATTTGATTTTAAACTGTTTACTTTTTTCTTAGATAATTCAATGATACGCTGTGAAATTTTGAAAGTGTATGCAACATTTCCCCCTGGAAACTGATTTTCGTATAGTCAGGTGCAGCATTGGCAGTACCCACAATATCAACAATACTTTCCACAAAATATTCATTTAGTTTGTTTGCAATCACCAAAGAATTTGTTTCGGTACCGTTTTCGAATTGAACTTGATTTACACAATCATGCGGCTTCGAATTGATCAGTCTTTTTAAAGTCTGCCACATCTTTACACTGCCGCACTTGTTATTATCGATTTGTTTATCGTAGAATTTCCTTTTTTCTTCTCTAATTACATACACACTTTTATTCCTAAGAGTTTTATATACCTCCCAATCATCATTTGATTTTGTGAATATACATTTATTGTATTGTCTCTCAAATTTTGAGCTGCCTTAATATCCTTGTTATACCAGGATGTATTTTTTGTCGAGTAAATCATTTTTTTATCAGTTGCAAGATCTAAACAAGTTTTTATATTTCCTATTATGTTGTCATATATTTTTTCCATATTCTCACCAAAATTCCAATAGCAGCCAGCAAGTTCTCGTTCAAGTTTTATGCCCTGTCACTGTTACTGTCGCTACGTACTCTCAGTATGCATGCGATTTTTTTGAGAGAAATCTGTCGCGATAAATTTGAGCTGCACGATTTGAATTCTGACTAGCTTCAGCGTAAACTAACAACATGTCGGCGAACTCTTGATTCGAGAACATTGTAAATAAACACGACGACGTACGCGAACAATAACTAACCACTGTTACCGTTTGCGATCGATTGCCGGTTCGATAAGATGAATGACCCACACGCTGTTGTCATGTGTGTTTTAAATATTAAATTTAATGAAACTTACTTACTGACTACAAATTTTGGCTTAACTTAGAAAAACTTAATGCTATTTATTTGTTAATTACCCAATTTAAAAACTTTTTAGATAAGATTATAAAAATTAGTAAGATTGTGGTGATTGTGATCGATATAAAGCACTTAAAGTTGTAAACTATAAAGCCATTTAGACAAACATCTATTGACTTGGACCATGGATCATATGGACTTTTTGACTTGTTTTGACCTCCCCTATTACCCAGTTCAATAGTGACTACCATAACGTTTACATCCTGCATTACTTGCAATACCTAAGAAGTTTCTAATAACAATATAATATACAGTGTGATCTTACCATCCTACATTACTTGTAACAGCAAGATTCAAAAACGGACTTTAAAGTATCGGGTTGACTAACAAAAAATGAGAGACACATAACTCGAAGATTTTATTTATTTACGAAATGATAATTAATAATTTTAGTGATTTTCGAGATCAATTGTGGAAAAAATAAAAAAAACAGCAAAAACCCAGGAATTTAAGTAGCTCTTTAGGTCATCAGGAATATTATGATTTACCTTTGTATCCACCGATGAGGAGTATTTTTGATTGATACAAACGAAGGTATAAAGGGTTTGAGGTGATGCCCTCAGAGCTTACGAGTACGTGATAGTGCTTCCTGTCTGACAAATAAAAACGAAATAGCGCTAGCACGGTATTCCCTATAGCATAGTTTTCTAGTTTTTTCAATATAACAATATATATACAGGGTGACTTCGAAGTTGAGTCATTTATTTTAACAGTGAGTAGATCTGATCAAAAGAAATGTTTTTTTCCTTTACCATTTTTCTGGTAAAATTAAAGTAACAAAGTTATAGCCCTTTGGAAGTTTGAGTACCGCCCTGTCTCAATGTGCTCGTGTTTGGCGACAACGGATATAATCCGTCGTATCGGTTCATCGCATCGGAAACAAAAAAGCGAAAGAATTTGGAACGAATTATTTCATTCATTTGTATACAGTTAGTGTCAGTGAATAGTTGTATCTGTTGCGTGGCTCAAACGAAATAAAAAATGGCACATGTTTATGCGGATCGGTTTCCCAATCGAGTGCAACCAACCCCTCGTGCCTTTGTTAATGTAGTACAACGGGCTCGTGAATCAGGTGACTTAAGACCTCACAGGGGACCTCACGATCAAATACAGGTCCGCACTGAAATACTTGTCGGGAGGATACTTTATAAAACAAGGTAAAATTTTTTTTTTAATTTTTTTTTATTTTTACACACATATTTTGGTTTATATTCCTTCTACAATCATTATCTGAAAATTAATGACTCAACTTCAAAGTCACCCTGTATAAAGAGTTATCCAATAGGGACGCAGGAAAGTAAACGTCAATTTGACATAGACGCCATCTTTGTTTTCTGTCACCGACATGTCATTTTGTTAGTTGAATGTTTACCATTGATCGCTATGGAGTCGTATTCGATTGAAGACCGCATTAAAGTTATTCAAGAGCACTATAAAAATGGTGCAAAAATAAAAAACACGTTTCGCGCGCTTCGTGAACATTTCGGTCGCAACAACCGCCCAAACGAAACAACCATCGGTCGTCTGGTGCGTAAAATCGAGGCAACAGGTTCTGTGGCAAATCTGCCAGGCTCTGGCCGGCCAAGGAGCGAAACAATCAACAACGCGTCGATCCCAAGAATTGGGCATTTTGAGAACCAGTTTGCTCCGCATTCTCCAACAAGGATTTGAATGTACATGCCTACAAGATCCAATTGACGCAAGAGCTGCGTCGGGCCGACCATTTTTCGCGCCGAACGTTCTCAGATTGGCTCCTTGTAAACCGCCAAATTGATGCCAATTTTTCATCAAAAATCATGTTCAGCGACGAAGCGCATTTCACTTTGAATGGGACGGTAAACAAGCAAAACTGCCGCATCTGGGCGAACGAAAATCCCCGTGAGTATCAAGAGCAGCCGACGCATCCTCAAAAAGTGACTGTGTGGTGTGCATTGTGGTCAAACGGCATCATCGGACCTTACTTTTTCGAAAATGCGGCCGGGGACGCCGTTACCGTCAATTCTGAGCGATATCACGTGATGATAGAGGACTATTTTTTGCCGCAACTTGAAGGAATGGATATGGACGATGTTTATTTCCAACAAGACGGTGCAACATGCCACACAACCAACGTCAATATTCATCGATTGCAGTCCTTCTTCGGTGATCGCGTGATTTCGCGCAGAGGAAATGTGCCATGGCCACCAAGATCGTGCGATTCGACTCCCTTGGACTTCTTTTTATGGGGATATTTGAAAAGCAAAGTCTACGTCAACAAACCAGCCACCCTTCAAGAACTCAAAAACAACATCATTGCCGAGATAAATGCCATAGAACCGACCATGCTGCAAAATGTCATTGAAAATTTCGACCATCGCGTGGACGTCTGTAAATCCAGTCGTGGTGAACATTTGAGCGATATTATTTTTTATACATAAATGGTATAAATGAACCTTCAAAATAAAGTACCCAACTTGATTTGAATATCAATCTTTCTTGTTTTAATACGTGTTTACTTTCCTGGGTCCGTTTTGGACAACCCCATATATATATAATAACAAATGCTTTCGTTAATAATAATTTAAAAGTTTTTATCTATTTAATTTCCTATTGATAGATTTTATCGAAAGTTGTTCAGTCGAAAAGCCACGTGACGCAAGACATATGATGGTCGTTTTGTACGAAGTGATCAAAATGACAGATTGGTCCAGAGTACCACCCGAATCGATTGACAACATAACCAGAAAGCTGTTGGAAATGTTACAACACAGCATCGATCCTCAACTAACTGATATTTATAATTATGTCCCCCTGAGAAAGGGAATAAGGATCTGCCTTTGCAATATGATGGAAATCTTATCCAAAAAACGTTTGGTCAAAATGGTAAGCTACGTGTTTCAAAAAGATTATTACCTTCTTGCATATCTTTTGAATGACGAATTCTCCACCTAGGCACCCCTAGAAATACCTCATTTCAGATCCGTTCTACCCCATCACAGAAGAAAGGGGTTGGCCTGCCAGCCTTAATGTCACTGTGACCCAAATGGATCCATTGTGACTCCCATACATACTTTCTAAAGCAATGTGTCCAGCCTTGATCTTTTAATCAGACTATATAGCCTTCACACAGGGCCCTGCATGTAACTTTCCGCTGTTAGATTTGTGGTTCCCACTATCTGAAACCGCAGCCTTACCAGGCCTTCGCAGTGACACAGGAGATGCACTGGGGTTTCCTCATGCTCTCTGTAGAAGCGGTATGTGGCCTTTTCTGCCACACCCAAGAGCATTATATGTTGATTTAGACGACAGTCTCCTGTCAGGAGACCTACTATGACCTTTAGGGCCTTCCCATTAAATCCGAGTAGGTCCTCTGTAAATGCAGGCCTTCGTTTCAGGAAATTTGCCTTCATTTGCCTTAATTGGCTGTTCCACCAATCTAGGGACTTTGCCTTGGCCCAATTTCTTATGGACTGTTTAGTGCATATTCTCGTTACGCTACAGAACGGCTCTGGACCCTGGGGGGCGGGGGCTATCTCATCCGCCTTTTCATTTGCTTTGTGCAATTCATGTCCTGGTACCTAGCGCAATCTTTCGGCTTCATAGTTCTTTGAGATTGTTCACGGAATCCCTCACTAGTTTAGACGATATTTGCGATAAAATTAACGCCTTTATGGCTGCCTGAGTAGATGGCGATCGACTGATTTGGGCTAACATTTGCCATGATTGACGAAATGTGTTCGTGCCAGATCAAGTCCTCGGTAATTGGACTCTTTTCTCCAGCTCACTGGCACTTAGCACTGTGAATTCCTGCCTGCAGAGTGCTGCCGTCAGCAAAGCTGTTGATCGGATTGATCGTACAGGAAACGAGGTCGTAGATTTGTAATTGAAACAATATCGGAGACAAGACCGATCCCTGGGGAACACCCGAGTTGATATTGTGGGATGAAGAGCCCTTCAATTACGACGGCCAGAGAAGAAGGCAGCCACCCATCTGCAAAGCTTCTCTGGGAAGTCATAGGATGGATATACTAAGTGACATATATATCCGAACACCCAGTTTAAATGGTTTTATTTTAATAAAATTTACTTAATGAAGCATAATAAGTAAATGATAAATTTCAAAATGATTGCACTGCTTTAAAGCCCTTTGACCTTTAATAATGTGTGGATGCACCCTGATGTGCTACGCATTCTCCAACGCGCCTAGGCATGCTTCCGATCAGGTGGTCAATGTCCTCCTGTGGTATCTCATTCCAGGCAACCACCAACTCCTCTCGAAGTGCTTCTAGAGTCTGAGGAGGACGTTGCAAATTGAGCAATCTCCTACCCATCATATCCCACACGTGCTCAATTGGGGATAAGTCGGGAGATCTTGGTGGCCATGGTAAGAATGTGACATCATTATGTTGAAAGAAGTCTATTGTGACTCTTGCAGCATGTGGTCGGGCATTATCTTGTTGGAAAGTTGGATCTGCCAGGGTGTCAAGATAGGGTAAAAGATGGGGTTCTAAAACTTCGTGGATATAACGCTGCGCGATCATGTTACCTCTGATGAAGATTAAAGGTGACCTGGAACCATAAGCTATAGCACTCCAAACCATAACTCCAACAGTGTGATGAACATGTCTTTCAACAAAAAACTGTGGATTCCTCCTTTCACCACGTCGCCTTCTAACCCTGGCACGACCATCGTGCATGCCTAAACAAAATCGAGACTCGTCACTAAAGACAATACTGTTCCATTCCTGATCCCAGAGTGACCGTTGTCTGCACCACTCAAGGCGATTACGTCGGTGTTCTCGAGTTAAAGGGAGGACCCAGTGTGGCCGGTATGAAAACAAGCCAAAACTTCTCATTCGTCGGTAAACACTTCGCATGCCAATAGGTCTTCCGTGTTCTGCAAACCATTCACTTGCAATGGACCTGGTAGTGGAGAAACTGTCCCTTAAGGCCAATAATCTTAGGCGGCGATGTTCACGGTCTGTTGTTCTACGGCGTCGTCCAGTGCTCCTTGCTCTTTGCGTACGGCCTTCTCGAAGCCACATAACCACAGTGCCTACACTTCTTTGCACTCTAACTGCAATTGTCCGAAAAGAAAGTCCAGCTTCCCGAAGACCCACTATACGGCCCCTATCAAACTCACTAAGTTGACGAAATCGTACAGGTCTCCGTACTCTAGGCATCGTAACCGATCGCAAAGGATGTCAAGAACCAAAATCCGCCAACGTTGATTCTTTACTGCGGCTGAAATATTCATTTTTAAAGCGTTAGTGAATTAAAAAAAAGCAGTATAAAAACCGGAATGTCCAACTGATAAGGCTGAAAATTTTCTCACTTGTTATTTACAGTAAGATAAAAATTAACATTCACCAACTTTTATTAAAATAAAACCATTTAAACTGGGTGTTCGGATTTATATGTCACTTAGTATATTTTCAGAAATCAATGAATCCTTTTTTCATTTTCAAAATCATCTAGCACTCCAAATCCTGTGTTTGAAAAATGGGCTTGTCGAATAATAAAACAAATTCAAGTATCAACATTTCAGCTCCATTTGATGTTGAAGGTGATCTCCCAACCAGACCAAAACAGTAGTGTACAGAAGTCATTAAGTAATCTGGCGATAATAGCTGCAACAGAGTACAGAAAGAAAACATCTCGACCATTTTCGGCTAAAGGTCCAATGCCTCTCATTTTCGGCGTGTATTTTTGTAAGGATCCCAATCTGAACGTAATAGCAACGATGATATGGAAAAGCCTTCTCGATGCACGGAACATTGTTCGGGTTTTTTACTCGCCCAGGTAACTAGCGCCATCAGTGGCGAAACGTCCATGTAACCATTATTACCATTAGATAGATAGATAGATAGTCTTTATTGTCTTTTGGTCATAAATAGCTATGACATAAGACTTGTCAACATTACATATACAATACATAAGTATGCGATATGCAAAAAAGAACAGGTAGTTAATTAAAACAGTAATTGAGATAATAAATAATAAACAAATAAATAAATAAAATAGGAGTCATTACACACACAAACAAAGTCTTAATGACATCTAACGAACATGAGAAAAAAAATCAATTTTAAATAAATAAAAACAATTGAGCACTTAAAAGGTCTAGAAGAGGAGCAATAAATACTTGGTAGTTTATTGTAAATTTTTGTACAGGCATAGAGTGGTGATTTCTGAAACTGGGCTGTTGCGTGGACTGGTATACTTAAGTCAAAACCTATTCTGGTGTTGTAGTGTCTGTTAACTGTGTTGTTTTGAATAAAACTGGTCCTATGTTTAAATGCGAAGAGAGCGCATTTATATATTATACAGGGTGGCCAAACACGTGACGTCATAAAAAAAAATTAGATTCCCCACATCGAGAGGAACCCAAATCACCCCCATATATATGGTCCGATTTTGTTTAGTTTAGGAGTTATCATTTTTTTTCGGATTTTTCGAGAATTTTTGAGTTCTGTGTTTATTTTTACCATAACTTCGTTAATAATTGTGATAAATGCCTGCTTTTTTCACGATTATGTAGCTAAGACCTAAGGCTTAACTATCATATAATCATTCAAGTCATGTAACTAATACTACTTTTTAATTTTTTTCAAAATCTTCGAACATAACAAAAAAGTAAAAAAGTGCAACAACTTTGAACGTTTATAAAAAATTGAAAAAACATGTTCTTACTATTCGTAAGTATCTTAAAAACTTCCTTACGGTATCAGCTATTTACCGTAAAAATTTCATCAACCTAGCTTTACTACATGCTACCGTAATTGTGGCTCAAATAGAACCGAACCCAAAATTGGATAACCCTCTGCTCAATAGAAATTGTTAGTTTCGGAAAAAAAATTTGCAAAAACCACAAAAACACGTTTGATTTTTACTGAACAGCAGATTATTATTCATTTATGTTATTTACAAGAGGTTTTCAAAATGTCTGCCTCTAACAGAAATGCACAGTATACACCTACGTATGAAATTTTGTTTTAAATCTCTAAATGCTTGTGTGTTGTTTTTCAACACATGTGTCGCTTCTTGAATTTTGTTCCTCAATGAATTTTCATTTGCACATTCTTGGGCGAATGTTATGTCTTTAAAATATCCCCAAACAAAAAAATCAATGGGGTTGAGGTCAGGGGAGCGTGGAGGCCATCGTATCGGTCCGTTTCGTCCGATCCATCTGTCTGGGAACCTTTCGTTTAAGTAGTTTCGCACGATCGTTGCGTTGTGGTTTCAACACCGTTTTAGTGTGAACATGTGGTCAGGAATATTCAATATGGAATTTATCGGTCCATTTGAACTGCCGTCAAGGTTGGATTCGGTAGCCTACAAAAGCTTCCTTGAAAATAGCCTACCATTATTGCTGGAAGATTCAAGCCTGGAAGCCAGACGGAACATGGTGTTCCAGAATGATGGTGCACCATGCCACAACGCAACGATCGTGCGAAACTACTTAAACGAAAGGTTCCCAGACAGATGGATCGGACGAAACGGACCGATACGATGGCCTCCACGCTCCCCTGACCTCAACCCCATTGATTTTTTTGTTTGGGGATATTTTAAAGACATAACATTCGCCCAAGAATGTGCAAATGAAAATTCATTGAGGAACAAAATTGTAAATAACATAAATGAATAATAATCTGCTGTTCAGTAAAAATCAAACGTGTTTTTGTGGTTTTTGCAAATTTTTTTTCCGAAACTAACAATTTCTATTGAGCAGAGGGTTATCCAATTTTGGGTTCGGTTCTATTTGAGCCACAATTACGGTAGCATGTAGTAAAGCTAGGTTGATGAAATTTTTACGGTAAATAGCTGATACCGTAAGGAAGTTTTTAAGATACTTACGAATAGTAAGAACATGTTTTTTCAATTTTTTATAAACGTTCAAAGTTGTTGCACTTTTTTACTTTTTTGTTATGTTCGAAGATTTTGAAAAAAAATAAAAAGTAGTATTAGTTACATGACTTGAATGATTATATGATAGTTAAGCCTTAGGTCTTAGCTACATAATCGTGAAAAAAGCAGGCATTTATCATAATTATTAACGAAGTTATGGTAAAAATAAACACAGAACTCAAAAATTCTCGAAAAATCCGAAAAAAAATCATAACTCCTAAACTAAACAAAATCGGACCATATATATATGGGGGTGATTTGGGTTCCTCTCGATGTGGGGAATCTAATTTTTTTTTTATGACGTCACGTGTTTGGCCGCCCTGTATACATATATATATATATATATATATATAGATGGATATTAATGTTAGCAGATTATATGTTCTGAAAATATCTTTACAAGAGTCTCTTTTGTTGATATTGAAAATCAGCCTGAGTACTCTTTTCTGCAAGATGAAGACTGTTGTTCATGACTGCTTGTCCCCATGGTATTATATTATTGCTAAGATGCGGGTAAGCCATTAGTAACAGTTATTAATTTTAAAAATAAATATTTTATGTACTGTGAGGGAAGTTCATTTATCTGTTTACCAACAGCAATATGTAATAGTAATTCAGTAAATAGAACCTATTTTAGATAATTTTAAAAAGGAATAAAAAAACGTAGTTTGATATTTTAAATTAAGTTGGTATATGGAAACTGTTGATTATGTGGTTGCAAAAAAACAAATTGTATTGTTGGCGATGTCTTCTGTTTTATACAGAAAAAAATGGGTGGACCAGCAGCGGAGTCAACGATATAAATAGTTTCAGGGCTCTAAAGAGGAGACATGAAATTTCTCCGTGACATGTGAGATGTGTAGCCAATTTAATTCAGTTTGTCAAAACAAGAATCGAAAGTTGTCTTAACCAAGCTTTTAGGCAGCACACTTCTAGATACCGTATGTTTTTGGCAAAACAGGAATTACCGTTCATTTTGAAGGGGATAACTCTGACAATAGAGGAAATTACAGGGAATTGTTAACATTCATTGCCAGAAAAGATAAAAAAACTTCCGAACTTCTAGAAAGGTCGACTGTTTTTTCGGACGGCTTGGATTAGTCATAGCATAAGACGATGAGGTATATCAAGTGCCAGAGACGCTCAGTCCAGAAATGTTTGCCTTAATTTAAAAATAGTTTGAATAAAATATCTAAATTAAGCATAAACTTATATTTGGGAGGTTCAAAATAAACCTTTTTAATAAGATTTTTCATATCTGGTTTTGGTAACAGTTTAGGAAAAGTCACGCGTCGCCACTGAGCGCCATCTATGAGAATTTGACACAGCGACGTTTCTCCTCTCTGCAGCGATTAGAAACCTACTTTTAAAAGGTCAGTGTCTCATAGATGGCGCCAACTAAATAATAATAATAGCGTTTTTTGACGAGCAAAAAAGTACAAACAGAAAAAATCAAAATAAAACAAGAAAGACTGATATTCAAATCAAGTTGGGTACTTTATTTTGAGGGTTCATTTATACCATTTAAGTATGAAAAATAATATCGCTCAAATGTTCACCACGACTGGATTTACAGACGTCCACTCGATGGTCGATATTTTGCAACATGATCGGTTCTATGGCATTTATCTCGGCAATGATGTTGTTTTTGAGTTCTTGGAGGGTGGCTGGTTTGTTGACGTAGACTTTGCTTTTCAAATATCCCCATAAAAAGAAGTCCAAGGGAGGCAAATCGCACGATCTTGGTGGCCATGGCACATTTCCTCTGCGCGAAATCACGCGATCACCGAAGAAGGACTGCAATCGATGGATATTGACGTTGGTTGTGTGGCATGTTGCACCGTCTTGTTGGAAATAAACATCGTCCATATCCATTCCTTCAAGTTGCGGCAAAAAATAGTCCTCTATCATCACGTGATATCGCTCAGAATTGACGGTAACGGCGTACCCGGCCGCATTTTCGAAAAAGTAAGGTCCGATCATGCCTTTTGACCACAATGCACACCACACAGTCACTTTTTGAGGATGCATCGGCTGCTCTTGATACTCACGGCGATTTTCGTTCGCCCAGATGCGGCAGTTTTGCTTGTTTACCGTCCCATTCAAAGTGAAATGCGCTTCGTCGCTGAACATGATTTTTGATGAAAAATTGGCATCAATTTGGCGGTGTTCAAGGAGCCAATCTGAGAACGTTCGGCGCGAAAAATGGTCGGCCCGACGCAGCTCTTGCGTCAGTTGGATCTTGTAGGCGTGTACATTCAAATCCTTGTGGAGAATGCGGAGCAAACTGGTTCTCGAAATGCCCAATTCTTGGGATCGACGCGTTGTTGATTGTTTCGGATCGTCTCTTACACTCTCCTTCACAACAGCAATATTTTCCGGTGTGCGAACGCTCCTTGGCCGGCCAGAGCCTGGCAGATTTGCCACAGAACCTGTTGCCTCGAATTTACGCACCAGACGACCGATGGTTGTTTCGTTTGGGCGGTTGTTGCGACCGAAATGTTCACAAAGCGCGCGAAACGTGTCTTTTATTTTTGCACCATTTTTGTAGTGCTCTTGAATAACTTTAATGCGGCCTTCAATCGAATACGACTCCATAGCGATCAATGGTAAACATTCAACTAACAAAATGACATGTCGGTGACAGAAAACAAAGATGGCGTCTATGTCCAATTGACGTTTACTTTCCTGCGTCCTTATTGGACAACCCTATATAAAAAATATAATTTAACGAAAAAGTTCAAATCATTTTAGGCAGATTTAACAGAAAACTGGTCATATGTGCTCAAGAATTAAGAAACTTGAAGTATAGGCATTCTATTGAACAATTCAAAAATGCAGCGGAGCTTGCTCCAGTTCTTTCGCGTCTCTTCCAGATATCTTATGAATCCGGCACCTTCCCAGAAAACTGGAAATTTGCTCATCTCCAACCCATCCCAAAAAAAGGATCTAAAACCGGCCCTTACAACTACAGGCCTATAGCTCTGCTTTCTGTTATAAGTAAGGTGATGGAGAGGTGCATAAATCGCGAGCTTCTGGACTACCTCGAACGTCACAGCTTGATTAGCGACAGGCAGTATGGTTTCCGGCACCAACGATCCACTGGGGACCTCCTAGCTTACGTCACGCAATTGTGTGGCTTCGGCCTGCGCGGCTGCTTCGATATTTAAAAAAATTCAAAAATACCTGTGCATGTATAATCTCGACTAGATCTCGTCCCTCCGGTGAATCTAGTCTTTAGTTCACGAATTTAATGTGCGTCTTTCGCTGAGAGAGTTCAAATAATTTTTTTTCAGGGTATATTTTGAAGACACCCTATACGACTTACCATACTGCAAAGTTCGCCGAGAAGACAAAGTTTTCTTCAAGTCTGTACAGCGCTTTATCTTCGAATCAATCGTCTATGGTATCGTCAACTGTACTGAAAGGTATTTTTTCTTTATCTTTATTATAAGTGCATGTAGTTCAAAACAAGACTATAGACTGATTATATGGATCAGTTTGACTGACTTGATCTATTTATTTTTTTGTATAATATTCTGAGCTATCTTTCTTCTCAAAGGAGCTAAGTTATGCTGAATCTATGTAATATTTTATGACACAGTTACGTGGGAACTGCAGAAACATAATACTACCTACTTGACGCCCATTTTTATTATTGCTACTTTTGCTTTGGTTGATAAGTCTTTAACTGTAAACATCGTTTCAAAGAAGGTAAAACTGGTACCTTTAAACCTAAGGTTATTCAGTTAGTATCTTCATTTCCAGAGAGATCCTTTACTATTATCACGAGACCATAGGATTGACCTTAGTGACAGTTCGATGTAGTGCAGCTGCATCGTGTTTCGTGGCTGTCGGAATGGCTGTCCAAGAATATGCCTTCACCATCACCAAGAAGCAGTTGGTGCGCTCCCATCACCTACACGCATTCGTTTTGTCTGTTATGACACTTGTCTGCTACGTTTTTCGTGCTAAGGTAAGACCATGGACGATTTTCTCATGTATAGAGGAAAGTATACTTTTCCACGAGTATCAATTACGTCAACAGTGAGAGCAAATAGCAGCTGATTATCTAGAAATATTTTAAAATAGCCCATATGGAAATGATACTCAATTTTGACAGATCTGTCAACGCTAGACCTATAGACAGAGTCTTATTTTGTTGAGGTCTGTGTACGTTACAGACTCATACTTTTTTATTCAGAAAAGTACTTTCGCCCACAAGAGAAAACGCTTCAAGCAAAATGGCTGCTAATAATCATTACTATATTTCAATCCACGTAGGAATGAAACGTTCAAGATCCTCTAAAAGCTTCCGATTATGCACCTCCCCATTACCTTTCTTACTTTACTTATAGTCCAGGACGATTAGACTTTCTCTGCTGAAAAAATCCCACCTGACTGATTTTTTTACCAGAGCTTCTTTTCAGCATTATAAATCATCGCTCAAAAGTCCCCATGAATCCAACTGGAGCTTTTTTTGTTATGGGGGGTCAAAGGACACAAAAACACTTCTTTCCGTATATCTTCGGAAATATCAATTCTACGATAAAATGAATTATTACCTTTTTTGTTCAGTATGAGATTATCCACAAAGGTTTTATGCATTTTTTTCGGAGAGATCGTTTTTTCAAAGAAATTTTACATCCAATGTTGAACATTGAGAAAATTGTAAAATAACGTACTTTTTTCCACGTCACCATAGAGGTAAAATACCAGACCCATTTTTTTGACATATGGTCTCCCCAATAGGCCTAATTGACGAAGATAGAATGAAAAAATGATGTTATTGTTACTTTTTTCCTTAGTCATCAATGTGACAAGATGCGCCATCATCTAAGTCTTCGCCAACCTCAAGTGTTGAGCATAGGAAATTCATGGGGTCTATATTCTCATCGAATTCCACATTATTCGACTCTTTATTGTTCGAGATCATATTCAGACATGACTGTCCATGACAGAAGCTGCAAATGGCGGAACAGTGAAGACCAAGTTTCTTACATCCACAATTAGCTCCAAAACCTTACAACCATTTTGTTCAATCATCAAGTGGCTTCACGATGTAATGCTTAACTTTCGTTTTAAATATTTTTAATCTGTTTTTAATTCGTTCTTGTCATACAGCTGTGTGTAGTTTGTATAATTTTGACTATTGTACCATGTATCCAGCTTTCACCATGTTACTGGGTGTTTCCCTCATCCTTAACGTAAATAACATTTAGCAACATCCTCACATACTACTCTCCTGATGATGATGGCAAAGACCATTGAAAGCTAGAGAGATTAAAAAAGTATAAAGAGTCCTCCTTGCTTAAATTTTGTCGAATATATATATATATAGGTGAAAATTAAAGCTTCCGCCTTTTGCTGGGTCCTTCGACAAAATTTATATATATATATATATATATATATATATATATATATATATATATATATATATATTAATGTATCATCAGCAAATAGTTGAATTTTGCAGTATTGTAAAATATCAGGAATATCGTTAATATATAAAATAAATAGTAATGGACCTAATTTGCTGCCTTGTGGCACACTTACCGAAATGTTTTTAATGTTTGATAATGTATTGCCAATTTTAGTTCTTTGGCTTCTATTGATTAAACAATTTTGTAATAAATTGAATACTGAACCTTGAAATCCATACCAATGCAATTTCGTTAACAATTTCTCCCTGTCAATAGTTTCAAATGCTCTTTTGAAATCTAAGAGCAATGTTACTGTAAACTTTTTTTCATCCATATTTCGCCTCCATTCTTCTACTACCATTTGAATTGCTGTTTCAGTAGAATACATTTTTCTGAATCCTGCTTGAAATTTTGTCAATATCTTATTTTCTTCAATATATTCAATGACTTGTTCATATATGAATCCTTCTAAGAGCTTCTCGACATCTGGCAGTACATTAATTGGCCGCATGTTTGTATATAACTCAGAATTTTGCACTTTTGGAACAGGAGTAATTGTTCAACATTTTAATTTTGAAGGAAATTCGCCATACACTAAACTTCTCTCCAATAATGTTGAAACATTCCTTCATAACCATTCTTGAAAGATGTTCACTAGGATTTCTATTCGATTTCAATCTTGTGATAGCTTTTGAAAGATGGCTGATATTTATTGTTTGGAGTTATCTCATAGAAGAATTACAAGTAACTTGCATGTGACATAGATTTGGATCCCCATCTTCGATTGATTCCACTATCTCATTTATACTTTCTATAAAATAAGCGTTCATTCGTTCTGCAATCAATATTTTTTTTTGTAATGAATATTTTTTTAATTTTAATATGAAAATAGGAACTAAATAACTGATGTTTCTACATAGTCGTGCCATAAGTTCTGTCCCATGTTAATCTCATGATAAAAATGAAACAAGATAAGATATATTTATATGAAAGATATTATTTATTCGACAACATTTTTAGAATTCATAATCAAACAGTTTTATCCAAAATGTCCCCCCTTGGCCTTCACACACTGCTTCAATCTCGCGGGCCACTCATCTATCACTGCACGCACAGCTTCCAAAGGAATAGCTGCCGCTGATCGGATCAAATCCGCTTTCAGGGACTCGATATTACGGTGGGCTTTGGAGCAGGCCAACTGCTCTAGCAGGTCCCACAACTTGTAGTCTAAAGGATTGAGGTCCGGACTCCCTGAGGGCCAATCTTCCGCAGCAATGAACTCTGGCACATTGCTTTCCAGCCAGCGCTGCGTACTCTTAGCCTTGTGAGCGGGGGCGGAATCCTGCTGGTAGACCCAGTGTTGGTTGGCAAACAATGTACCACTTAAAGGCTTGACGATAGGATCCAGTATGTCGCTCTGATAGTTTGCCGCTTTTGTTTTCACGCCCTGTTTACAGAAATGGAGCTGAGTGACCCCTTCGTAGGACACCCCCCACCAAACCATGACTGACGCAGGGTGGTGGCCTCTCTCAACTCTCGGAATGATCTCCGAAGCTTCCTGTGAACTCCTTGCATACACTTTGTCATTTTGTCGGTTGAATTTTTCTTCTATGGTGAAGATTTTCTCATCCGTGAACAAAATCTTTCGGAATCCCCCAGCTGCGTACCTCTCCAAGAGCTTCTTGGATCTTGTCGCCCTGATGTGTCGCAAGGTGGCCGTAAGTCGCTGGCCCGTACGTCTCCGGTAAGCCCCTAGCCCTAGGTCTTGTTTAATGATGCGCGACATCGTCCGGACAGGAATCTTCATTTCCCTGGATAGGATCTTCTGCTTCCGGAGTGGATTCCTTTGAATCCTGGCTTTTACGGCTTTGATGGCTGCTGGAGTCCTTACTTGACGAGGTCTTCCGCTTCTTGGCCTGTCATCAACAGAGGACGTCTCATTGTACCGCTGAATGGTCATAGACACAAATTTACGCGATATTTGAAGGCCGCGTAAGAGTTCAAAAATCTGACTAGCACTGTGATTACACTTATGTAAAGCTATCACTGCAATACGGTTCTCTGCCTTGCCCCACTCCATCGTTATGCTTCGAGAGATCAATACAAACTGAGGTATATGTAATTACCCGAAAAGCGCTTAATCAACTGACACCACAATGTAAACAATCGGACAAGTATTAACAGGTCTACACTTGTTTGAAAACGAGGGACAGAACTTATGGCATGACTACGTATGTAGGCATTAGAGCTGAATGAACCCATCTTACCTGTTCATTCTGCGCTGATCAACAACATGTATTTTAGGTACTCTACAAATACGTAATCTCGATAATGAAAAACAGGGCGGAATGGGCGCCACACCTGAATCCCCCCATTCACCAAAAATACAAATATGCAGCCCATCACATCTTGTGGAACAAACCTGACCTCTTCTTCGACGATTGGGAGGTAAAGTATGGACTGTGGAAGTGTTTCAGAGTCAAGAAGGATATTATACCAAAAGGTAGTGTAAAGCGCCATAAGAAAAAATAAATGTGGAAAAATAATGAAGTCTCTTTTAGCACTGATCTCATATAGTAGAAACTGGATAAGAAAAATCCGATCTTCCCACGAATATACACATTAATCTAAATTCATATAATTTTAATTTCCAACAGTACTGTTTTGAAATCCAATGTATCATAAATTCAAATAGTGAAAAAATTGTTCAAATTAATGCACATATATCCATAGTAAGACGCCTCGCAAATACATGTTTTTCAAAATTATATTTGCATTTGTCAATACTTGCTCTCAGCAGTATCTTACGTACATTACAAATGTCTAAAACTAAAATGGCTGCTCCAGGTAACAAATACAACAAAAACTATATATGTATAGGAACATCTCAGAAAACATAACAAAATTACATTTTTATTATCCAAAATAAAAAAAATATATCACATCAGTATATATACAAATAATGGCAAACGAACTAAATCTAACATATTATGCTTCAAAAAATAAATATACGTACATTTCAAACTTACATTTAAGTACTTTTTAACATACACTATAATTCTGGCCGGTATTTTTGGGAATCGTTTATCTGAAAAAAAGAGACATGAGATATTAAGATATTTATTAAAACTGTTAATATAATATAAATTTTAGTTTAACAAACTAAAAAACACAGATCGAACTAAAAAGTATGAAATAAAATATTTTTAAAGGAATCAATTATATTAAGAAAAGCTTGAAGTGCTTGATATTAAATGTTTTTTAGTTGCTATTTACAAAATTATTATGAAAATATAGTTAATTGATTTTTTATTATAACTGAACTTTTTTTAGTATCTCATTTTCTACTTTGTTTTGCTATGGAAGTGTGTTTTTCAGTTTCTTTAAACTATAATTTATTTTCTGAATGTTTAGTCTCAAAACGACAACAAAAGTGCATATGATCAACAGCTTCGATTTTTGGTAATTTTTTCAAATTTCGAAATCTCCAATTTTTTCAAAATTTCCAAATCTTCAAACTATTTTCCAAATTTCGAAATTTATTTTTTTTACAAATGCTCAAATTTGAATTTTTTTACCAAGATTATTGTATTACCATCGGCACTTGATCCCTGTGCCAATTTTCAAGTTATTCGGATTTCGTGAAATTGGTGCAAATTAGGCTAAAACATTCTGTTGCATAGGGGATCAAAATTTTCAAGTTAAAAATAACATTGCATTTGCATGTATGTATAAACTCACCACAGCAAAATGGTCGATGTTGTTAATGATGACATCATCATCATCATCTTCCGGATCCAACTCTTCTTTCTTGACCATCTCTTCGACTTCCATGTCCAGTCGTTCTTCGTCCAAATCATCGATCCATGTCAGATCAATGACTTCATTACCATCTTCACTGACGTGTGACGGGTCCGGACTATGGCTGACGGTCGGGGACGAACTAAGTCGATCGTACGAAGGGGGAACCAGCATTGGTGCATATACAAGGTTACGAGTGGGCAATTCGTCGTCATCTAGCTGCATCCTTAGCGAGACAGGAGTGGCTGACGCATGCGGTGTCGCTAGTGGTGTTAAAGACAAAACGTTAAAATCAACTGTCAAAACATATTGCATCCAGTGTTGTACTGGAACGTCACTCAATTGGTTTAAAATATATTTAAATAGACGATCCAAAATTGCAGAATTATTACATTATATACTCAGTGTTACACCCAGAAAAAAAAATAATTTCTTCAACTTAATTTTTTGGCAATGAGGTAGTCTTACATCAAGAATGAAACGATAACATTCTCACGAAACTTTATTGACAAGTAATAAGAACAAAAGTTCTCCTGTATACGCCTAGGCATCGACAAAATGAGATGATCGATATCAGGTTGTGGCACCTCATTCCAAGCAACTCGAACTTCGTCGATTAGCTGTGGCTGTAGCGGATGGTGCAAAGTGGATAATCTCTTCCCCATCATATCCCACACATGTTCGATGGGATTTAAATCCGGTGAACGGGGTGGCCACGGTGAAACATTAACGCCTGCTTCTACGACCATCGTGCGTACCTATACAGAATCGCGATTCGTCGCTGAAGATGACATTATGCCATTCTGCCTCCCAATGTTGCCGTTCTCTGCTCCAGTTCAAACGTTGACGACAGTGGGCCGCAGTCAGAGGAAGCATCAACCGTGGTCGGCATGAAAAAAGTCCATGCGGATAGAGTGTACGCATAGTAATAGGTCTACCTTCTTCTCCAAACCATTGGTCAGCGATCTGATGCGTAGTAGCAAAAGGGTCTTGTAGGGCTACTTGTCTGAAGCGCCTATATTGACGCTCTGTGATATGCCTCGGTAAGCCAGTTGGCCTTCGTGTTCCTCTACCTTCTTCTGTCCACACACGACACATACGCATAACCGTCATTGCAATACAATTAACACGGCGGCGAATTTCGCTATAGGACAAACCAACATCTCGACAGGCAATAATTCTAACCCTGTCAATGTCGCTAACACGGTGATAATTTGGACGTCTCGAAGTCGAAGAATTTTGTTATGCTTGACACTAGTAAATGAAAGGGCATTATTATCTGTACTACTCAGCTCTCAGAAACTGTTTTCTTCACAAAAACTAAGAGAACATTTTAATAAAGGTAAACAAAACAAAGATAAAACGTTGACATGCTTTAACTATAGTCATTCACAGAGTAGCACTTCCCAGCCTATATGATATCAGTGGCCTTAGTATACCCGTGGTTCAGCAATATAAATATCTATGAGTAGTGCTGGATTGTAAGCTCACTTGGGGCAAGCATATTCAGTACTTAAAAACAAAAGCTGAAAAAGGGATTAACATACTTAAGTGCACCACAAAGAAAAAGTGGGGATCAGATCCTAAAATAGCGCTTATTTTTTACCAGTCTTACGTAAGGTCCGTATTGGATTATGGTTGTGTGCTGTACGGTTCCGCGGCTAAGTCTCACCTAACTAAAATTGACCGAATACAATATCAGGCCTTGAGAATTTGCATGGGAGTCATGAAATCAACCATGTCCAGCAATCTTAGCTGAAGCAAGGGAACCTCCTCTTTCATTACGAAGAAGGTACTTTGCAGAGAAGGCTGTTGTCAAATACAGAACCTATAACAAATACTTGCTTAATAAGATATCACAATTAGTAACTACAGACTTGACTAACAAGTACTGAAAAAAATCCTCACCACTGCTAGCTGAAGCTTTCGTAGAGACCAGTCATCTCGCTAATTTAATTCATCCTATGGATAATTACCCGTTATATGTTGGCCCTTATGAAGTTTTTCTTAATGAAACAACCATCACAATCCCTACATATACCGAAAACTGTTATTACAATAGGTCTGTTCTATCTGCCGTATTGGAAGATCTCAACTGCCTCACTGTCGTCTATACCGACGGCTCCAAAAGTGAGATGGGTACTGGGTGCGCGTTCTACGTTCCACAAAAAGATTATTGCAAGCGATACAGGATTCCTGACATGTGCTCCATATTTACAGCAGAAGCCTATGCGTTACTACAGGCGATTTTCTGGTGCCTTTCGCAAAATATTAATCATGCAACAATTATTACAGATTCGAGTTCAGTCTTAGAAGCAATTAAACAAAATCCTGTTAGATCATATGATATTTTTTTATTATGCAAAATCAGAAACTTGCTCGTCGCTTATCAAGCCAAAAGAGCAAAGATAAATTTTGTTTGGGTAAAAGGGCATGCTGGCATCAGAGGCACTGAGATGGTTGATAAAGCTGCAAAAAATGCAATTCACTCTAGTACGATTACCCATGTGTCACTTTTTTCTGATTTATTCATAGAGATCAGAGGTAACATCAAGAAAAGATGGGATTTGATCTGGTCCAACTTTGTAGTAAACTCTCGAAATCATTATGCTCTTATTTACCCGACCCTTCCCAATATAATACCCCACATAGATCTCTTCTATATGAATAGAAGATTCTCCACAATTATAACGAGATTGAGATTGGGTCATGGTTGCTTTCCTGCTCATCTTCATCGAATAGGTGTAATAGTCCCCAAATTGTGCTTGTGATGAATCTCATTTAGCCAATCTAAACCACATATTTTTTGCTTGTAATCTTTACACCAATATTTCCAACCAATTAATCGCTCAGATGATTAAACTTGGCTTCCAACTATCTTTAAGTCTGACTACCATTTTATCCTTTCCGGATATAAAAATTTATTTAGCGCTAATTCAATTCCTTAAAAAGGCAAATATTACTATATAAAATAAACCTTGTTTGGAATTCGTAACTATTCAGTTACATCCACCCCTTTTCTTTCTTTCTTACCGTCTCTCACAATGATCAGATAATATAAATCCATTGACAACATTTTGTGGCAAATGGACTCCCGTTTCCAATGCCAATATTTTGACACACACACAACTATAGTCATTATGTTGCCAAAAAAAAAACAGTTGAAATAATTTTTTCTGGGTGTAACACTTCTAATGTCACTGAGTATATTTAAAAAAATTAAATATAACCGCAGCGGTACTAGGTCCTAATCTTAGTCTATATCACGATTTATTAAACTTAAGCATAAATGATAAATTCGTAGTTTTTGTTGACGATACCACAATAATTTGGCAAGACGAAGATATAAATGAAATCAAGACAAACATTGATAGTGATATGCAAACCAATCAAAAACTGGTGTGACAACAATTACTTGACTTTCAATGTTAATATCACACTTAAGAGCTCCCTTGATTTTATAAATTTAAATAATGAAGTGATACATAAAACAGACACCATCAAATTTTTGGAACTGACCATTGATCATAACTTAGATTCACTAATCATAAAAAATTCCTTGTGTCTGAAAAAATGTGAGAACCAGATTTTTGAGACAATCCTCGTACATTTCATATTAAATATAATAATTGATCACTATTTAAATATGTCAAGTTTAAACAGTTGCATTTTGTTTTGTTTTTTAAGATGTATTTAGCATGATTGCTACAATTACATTCTTCTAAAAAACTAAACAATTACAGACATTCAGAAAAAAACAAAATTTGCATCTCTAAGAATTTTCATTGTCCATGAAATATTCTTTTATTTTTTTTTTAAATATCTTTAAATTACAAGTAGACTTTATGTCATTATTTAGTTTATTAAATTCAAGTAATCCTTTCTGAAATATTGATTTGCTAGTTATATTGCAATTTTGTAAATGAAAACCTATATTTCCTCTTGTATAATAATTGTGGTAATGATTATTCAATTCTATGTAGTGTTCTAAATGTTCTAACAAAAGATGATTTTTTATTTTAAATATAAAAATAAGAACCAAATATAATATGAAATTTTTTATATTCAATCACTACAATTCTTGTAACATAGATTTTATTTTGGTGTACTTATTTTTATTCAATATTATTCTCATAGCTTTATTTTGCAAAACTTGTAATTTTGAGAATACAGCTTCATTGGCAGTGAACAAGATAGTTGAACAATATAGTAAATGCGGTAGAATAATTGTATTATAAACTATTTTCTTGGAATAGGTCCCATACCATGAGAAGCCCTATAAAAGTAATTTGTTTTTTTGGCAATTTTTGAAATAATGTATTCATAGTGATCCTTAAACTTTAGTTTACTATCAATATATATACCTAAATATTTAATTGATTCCACATTATCAATTATTTATCCATTTATCCTAACTGTGATAGTATTTTCATTTAGGCATTTCCCTATTAACATACATTTTGTTTTAGAAGTATTCAATTTTAGTTTATTTGCATTTAAAAAATTTACGAGTTGTGCCAAGTCAGAATTTAGCATTTTTAAAGCAGTGTCTATATTTTTATCTGATATGTATATTAATGTATCTTCTGCAAATATCTGAAGTTTACAATAATCTAAAATATTACAATTGTTATTAATGTATAAAATAAATAGTAGTGCACCTAGTTTACTACTTTGTGGTATACCAACAGAAATATTTTTTGATCTTGATAATGTAGATCCAATTTTGGTTTTTTGACTTCTGTCAATGAAATAGTTTTGTAGAATTTTGAATACAGATCCTTTAAATCCGTAGTGATGCAATTTAAATAAAATGTAGGCGTTCCTACCTGTGGACATCTGTTGAAGGCGCATCAGAACTCCAAATTGGTAGCAATTTAGTAATAAAGAAATTTATAAGAAAGTTCAACTTATAATCAATAGATGTCGCTTGTGTACAATAATAATAAATACAATAAGTTTAAATTGTTGTTCAAGTATTTCCTACATTATCTAAAAATTAAAACGCAAAGGAAAATCGTTTAAAGATGCTAACGTTATCTTCTTGTTTTAAAACTTATAACGCTAATAATAGTGATTTAAAGCTGGTTTATTGGATTTGTTAGAAAACTACTCACCGCATGTTCCACGTTGAGCCAACTGCGCAGTCTCATTCGGAGATATCACCGTTGTTCGGACCGGGGTGTTGAATTCACTCGACGGATGACTTGGTGTTTGAGCGGTTCCAAACTGCTGAGCCGGAGTCCTAGCGAGAGGATCTATCCGAACATTTTGACTGCTCGTATGTACCGGAGTACCAGTTAGTATTATATTCTTAGATATAGTTGCAGCTAAAGATCCGGTTTGATTCAGTGATGACACCGGCGATTTGTTAGCTGGTGACGCCGCAACAGAGTCGTGATATTGCTTCGATACTGCATTTCTGTTAGGGCGAGATTTTTGAAGTCTATCACTATTAATTGTCTGTTCTCTTCTACTAGCGGAGTCTGCAGTATCAACCATTTGGTGTGCTGGAGAAGAAAGCGACAGATGGCGTGGTGTCATTCCCATAGAGCGAAGATTTTGATTCGACCCACCACTACGAGTGGGTGTCATTTGAACGTGATGATCTGGCAACGCTGCCCTACCACTCATGGCTACAGGTGTATCGGATATTCGACGGGCTGGAGAAAACATAGAATTCTGAGCTGGTGACATTGCCGTAGAAACACTATTTCGAATTGTTCCTCCATTACGTCCAGACAGCATACGGACTTGCAAATTTGGCAACACTGCTTCATCGCATACCCTTCCGCTTGTAGATTCACCTTGATTCGACATTTGGTGAGCTGGAGAAGACATAGAATTCTGCGCTGGTGACATTCCCATAGAAAGACTATTTCGACTTGTTCCTCCACTTTGTCCAGGCATCACACGAACTTGCAAATTCGGCAACACTGCTTCATCGCATACCCTGCCGCTTGTAGATTGACCTTGATTCGACATTTGATGAGCTGGAGAAGACATAGAATTCTGCGCTGGTGACATTCCCATAGAAAGAATATTTCGACTTGTTCCTCCACTTTGTCCAGGCGTCACACGAAGTTGCAAAGTTGGCAACATTGCTTCATCGCATACCCTGCCGCTTGTAGATTCACCTTGATTCGACATTTGATGAGCTGGAGAAGACATAGAATTCTGCGCTGGTGACATTCCCATAGAAAGACTATTTCGACTTGTTCCTCCACTTTGTCCAGGCATCACACGAACTTGCAAATTTGGCAACACTGCTTCATCGCATACCCTGCCGCTTGTAGATTCACCTTGATTCGACATTTGATGAGCTGGAGAAGACATAGAATTCTGCGCTGGTGACATTCCCATAGAAAGAATATTTCGACTTGTTCCTCCACTTTGTCCAGGCGTCACACGAAGTTGCAAATTTGCCAACATTGCTTCATCGCATACCCTGCCACTTGTAGATTCACCTTGATTCAACATTTGATGAGCTGGAGAAGACATTTGAGCTGAAGACATTCCCACGGAATTAAGATTCTGGTTTGATACTCCGCGATGACTAGGGGTCATATAAGGATGTGGATTTGGCAATGCCGTTGGGGCATACGTCCTAGGGTCTCTTTGGTTACGCACTACGCAACTGTGCGCAGATTGAGGTCCACTACGGCCAGTTGTCATTTGAACATGTGAATTTGGCAATCCACGAGGAGTGTACGCCATTTGACTTGTAGATGCACCTTGACCAGACATCTGATGTGCTGGAGATGATATTACAGGTGACGACCCCACAGAGTAACTTGGCACTTCAGTTTGAGCAGGCGACACATTTGGTAACGCCCTTCTATCAGAGTATCCATGAGCTGGTGCCACACTTGCACCAACTGTCGTGTTTTGACCTGACATTTGATGAGATGGAATGCACCCTGTCACACTTTGATTTGATGTTATTCTGTTATTGGTGAGCCTGTATGGGGCATTTAGTCGGGCAGGTCTTGGTAGATACTCACAGCCGCTTGTTATATCCAACATATGACGCTGTGGTGATGAAAAGTGGTGAATAGTTGACGAGGTTGCAGCTTGCTGCCTGGAAGGATTGACATTCTGACTAGAAACTGTATTCAGATTTGGTGACGTGTACGGTGGCGGTGGTGCCCGTACTATTGGCGCGTATACGTGTTTTTGGATCGAGTTACAGGACATTGGCGATGACGTTGCACTTGATGACGTGCACCCGGTATTATTCTCAGCGGACACGTTAGGCCTATTTTGGCACGGATATTTGTCGAGCATCTGTTCTAGATTTGTCATACTGGAATTCATGTTGGTTTGAGATGGACCAGGAGTGCCCTAGAAAAATAAAAAAAATCGTTTAGTTTCGATCGGGGATTACCAATTTTTTCTCAAATATAAATTTTGCTGGTTTCGGTGGGCCTCCCACCTGTTACATTCCAACCGTATTCCAAAAGCTCGTCAAGAAGTGTGGAAATTAAACCTAACGATGCAAATTATCAGTAGTCAAATTATATTAAAAAGAAAAATATTTTCTTATATGATTACAAACTTAATAGGAATAAAAATTAAACATTAATGTAAAATGTAACTTCTACAAATACAAATTAACAGTGCAAAAAATAATATAATGAATCAGAATGTTAATGGGAGTTACAGTACTGGACAAAAGTATATAGACAAATTAATGTTGTGCTGTATTTCTTTTTTAACTTGTTTTATTAATACACCAACCTGTATGCATAATTCGTTATAGCATAATACTCACTTATACATAAATAAATTCATTAGACTCTCTTCAATAAAAAATTAATTTAAAAAAACTGGAACTATGAGGGACAAATATATATAGACAAATTCTTTTCAGTAGTAGTACAATTTCGTGTCGGAAGAGGATTAGTTTGTGTTCATCAAGTATTGTGGAATAAGTTGAGTGATTCTAAGACCATGCCGCGTGGTCCAGAAATTTATTTCAATGTCAAAACTAAAATCATTGAGTTATACAAAGATGGTCAACGTCAAGTCGACATTGCCAAAAAATTTAAGCTGAAGCGTAAAGCAGTTTGGGCAATATTGAACAAATATAAACAAAAAGGTATCTTGGAAGCCTCTAAGATAAGTGGTCGGCCTAGAAAACTAAATGCTAGATCAGTCAGATTAATAAAAGTAATTTCGTCCAAAGATCCGTTTAAAACCCCAAGACAAATAAAAGCCGAAATCGAGACAAAAGGAGTTGTCAGTGTTTCTACGAAAACTATAAGCAGAAGATTAAATGCTTTGAAGTTTGGATCAGATGATGTTGATTACGTTAGACGTCCTAGTGGATATTGAACCCCAAGTACACTTTGCCCGCTGCCAAACATGGAGGCGGGTCTATTATGTTTTTTTTATGACTAAGTTTGTATACACAGACATACTAAAGCATGTCATGTTACCCTATATGGAAGACAATATGCCCTTAAGATCAATCTTCCAGCAAGATAATGACCCGAAGCACACTTCAAATCTCGCAAAGAAATTCTTTCTGGATGAAAAAATACCAGTTCTCAAATGGCGTTCACAGTCTCCTGATATAAACCCCATTGAAAATCTATGGGAATACTTAGATAAGCAAATACGAGATAAAAATTATTCAAACAATGATGAACTTTTTGCCGCTTTAGAGCACAAGTGGAGACAGATTGATGAATCTTATATCAAGAAACTTCTACAATCTATGCCGAGACGATGCCAGGCGGTGATTGATAATAATGGTTATGCTACAAAATATTAACACAAACATGGTTGGTTTTCTATAAGTCAATAAACTTTGCTTCTTTTTTCTACAATTGTTTTGCTTTGTCTATATATTTTTGTCCTTCATAGTTCCAGTTTTTTTCAATAAATTTTTTATTGAAGGGGGTCTAATGAATTTATTTATGTATAAGTGAGTATTATGCTATAACGAATAATGTATACAGGTTGGTGTGTTAATAAATCAAGTTAAAAAAGAAATACAGCACAATATTAATTTGTCTATATAGACGAAAATAGCCCTGGTTTGCGAAATAACTGTAATAATTGTAGTTAAAACGGCGCATAAAGATATCAAACAACAGAATGAGAAAACGTATTAATGACAATGCGTGCATACGCAATAGAGGACAACAATTCAAACAAGATTTGTGAAACAGAAAAAATAATAAATAATTAAATTTAGATTTTACACGTTTTTTAATTTTCCTTCCCCTGTACACAAAATTTGCAAATTCAATAAGTTAGTTAAACTTTTTTGTGACTTTTTGCATGCCGTTGAATCGGGATAAACTAGAGTACTTTTTAAAAGAATTCTAAGAACGTGAACGCTTCTACTTTTTTTTTGTTTACAGAAATTCAAAATTGAGACTTACATTTTTTTGTTCTTCTTTGTAACCCTTTGTGAGTTTATGAATAAAAAACTACATGCTGCTGGCAAGTTATGTTGATTTTGTAAGATTTTTTTATTTCACTTTGTGTATTACATTTTAGAGTGTTAACTAAAGAAATCTACATAATTCCGTTGGGCTAAAAACTGTTTGAGGGACCTGGGGTGATAGAAAAAGACCTCCTCCGTCCACCATTTCAATTTGGCAAACGATGCACCAAACACCCTGTATATTAATACTTTTAAAAAAAGGTTCAGAGAATTATATTTCTTCGTAAAAAACTGGATTACGTGACCTACTTATATGACAAAGTCATGCAGTCATCAATAATGCAGCGATTTGGCACATGCTACATACTAACTAGTCTAAGACAGTTTGGAACATAATGCGGTCTTCGGTTTGGGTGCTTTATAAACATTTCAGCGCATTGCACTGTCTATTATGATCCAGAACATATATTTTAGATTCCGCAGGTAAACAGTAAAATCGGGCCTAAAAACTCTGTCATTTCCTTACCTGCATTAACGACGATGGATCCCTCAACCGTATCATTGGTGTCGCACCGTGTGCAGGTGGCATATTTGAAGTCGGATTCTGAAATGTGTGACTTCCTGATGCAACACGTGGTGAATTTGGTATTGCTTGGACCAATTTCCGTAAGGTCGAGGGACTAATGCCGGATGCAAATGATGCCCTACTTTGTGTAGCAAGCGTATTTTCATTTGGAGCTGGAGCTGTCAGATTACTGCCTTCTGTCGACCGCTTGGAAGTCCTCTTCGGTGATTTGTTGCCCTTTTTGAATAGGTCCTGCGTGCGGCGGATGCTCTGATACTGTGCTATTTGATTTGTTAATGCAGTTACTTGCTCAGGGGCCATATCTGGAATACGAAATGAATGTTAAGCTGCGAGAATTCTGAAATCTGAAAGCGTCATCGTCGGTTTGTACAAGGTTTTGATTACGCAAATTGTGATATAACGGGTGATTTTTTAAGAGGTATAGGATTTGATTTTCAAAAAAAACACAAAAAATTTGAAAAAACGATTAAATCTTTATTTGAGTCGGTAGAACGGTCGATATAATTCAATGTTTAATGATCATTTCATGTAAATGTTGGTCGCGGCTTCGCTTTAGATTTCCCATGCGCAAGGTCCAATTTTGGCACACTCTCTCCAACATATCGGCCGGTATCTCACGAATAAATGCTTCAATATTGGCTTCCAGTGCGTCAATCGTTGCTGGTTTATCCCTGTAGATATTAGCCTTAACATGGCCCCACAAGAAATAGTCCAACGGCGTTAAATCACACGATCTATGCGGCCAATTGACGGGCCCCAAACGTGAGATAAACTGTTCACCGAACTCGCCTCTCAGTAGGGCCATTGTTTCGTGTGCGGTGTGGCATGTGGCACCGTCTTGTTTAAACCACATGTCAGAAAAGTCCAGCTCTTCCATTTTGGGCAAAAAAAAAGTTTGTTATCATCTTTGAAGAAGTACGGCCCGAGGATGCAACCGGCCCATAATCCACACCAAACAGTGATTTTTTCGGGATGCATTGGTGGCTCTTGCAATGCTTCTGGCTGGTCTTCACTCCAGATGCGGCAATTGTGCTTGTTAACGTACCCATTCAACCAGAAATGAGCTTCGTCGCTGAACACAATTTTTCGATAAAAATGTGGATCTTCCTCCAACTTTGCCAGCGCCCATTCACCAAACTGGAAACGTTGTGGGAGGTCGTGTGGCTTCAATTCTTGCACCAGCTGTATCTTATAAGGTTTTACACCCAAATCCTTTCGTAAAATTTTCCACGTAGTGGAGTAACAGAGGCCCAATTGCTGCGAACGGCGGCGAATCGACATTTCACGGTCATCACTAACACTGGCGGATACAGCCGCAATATTTTCTTCAGTCCTCACTCGACGTCTGCGTGTTGGTGGTTTAATGTCCAATAATGTAAAGTGGGTTCGAAATTTAGTCACAAGCTTCCGAATAGCTCCCTCAGTGGGCCGACCAAATTGCCCATAAATTGGAAGCAGTGCTCGATGCACTCTCTTAACCGAGCATGAATTTTGATAGTAAAATTCAATAATTTGCAAGCCTTGTTCGTTCGTAAGTCGATTCATGGTTAAATTATAGACCAAACTGAACAAGTTTGACAATGACACAAGACACGATTCACGCGTCATCTGTCAAAAACAGTGTTGCCAAAAAGATACTAGCAAAAAAATCACCAATTACTACTGAATATTTTCCTCGTCTTAATTTCTACCAATCACAAACACGGAATTTTGAATTACAAATGGTTTCTAGTCAGCAGTTTTTTCGAGTTTACCCGCAGCAAAACTTGACAGCTGTTGTCACCAAAAATTACGTATGCATGTACAGGGTGCGCAATCTTTTATGTCGGTATGTAAACATGAAATAACTTTGAAAACGAAAAACTGATTTCTATGGACCTTTACTTTATTGGGACTAGTTTTTGAACACAAAATCTATCAAATGGCCACATTTATTGACCAAAACAAAATGTGCCCGTTTTGCTGCGTTTTCCATTACTTTTTCGAGCATCTCTGGTGGTATGGCGGCGATTACGGAACGAATGTTTGCCTCGAGTTCTTCAGTGGTCTGGGAATTGCTGGCGTACACTTGACTTTTCAAATAACTCCACAAGAAGAAGTCCGGTGGGGTCAAATCTGGAGACCTGGGTGGCCAGTCAATGTCACCTCTTTTTGACATCAGACGTCCAGGGAATTTTCGTTGCAGAAACTGGATTGTTTCATTTGCAGTGTGGCATGGCGCACCGTCTTGTTGAAACCAGTAACCATCAAGACCTTTTTCACGCACTTGTGGGCAGACACAATGAGCCAACATCCACCGATATCGATTTCCATCGACTGTTTCGTTTTCGTTGAAGAAAAATGCGAGCGACTGTTTGCGCGTATTCCAAGCGACGTGGTCGGTCAGTTGGCAATATTTTTTGTGTTAATTGCACCTTATAAGGAAACAAATGCAAATCATCCTTCAAAATGCGCCGCAACGTGGTTCCACTGATGCCAAAATGCTGAGCGCGGTGACGATACGACACTTTTGGGTTCTGGGCAACGCTGGCTCTGACCACTTCAACCAATCCATTGGAACGTCTTGGTCGTTGATGAACGACATGTTCCGTACTCAAGAAAAATCGAAACCAAACGATATTTTCGACGATATGCAAGTTGCGTTAACACAACTGAACGACGATTTCGGCGCGTTGTTTCGGTGTAAAGCGCTGCATGACTAAAATTGTAGTAAATTGACGTTTCAGAAACAGGTATAACCAAATCACTCGGTTGGTAAATATCAGTCATTCGATGTTTCAATACCGACATAAAAGATGGCGCACCCGTTATAATAGGTAGTATGTTATGTAAGCTATGTGTTTGCAGAATAATCTGTTACTCATGAAATAGTCTTGTCAAATACCATTCGGACATCTAATTTTTTCCAGTGAAAAAAATCGAAAAAACAATGCAAAGTAATATTTTTTCAACAAAAAACATTCGTGAAGGTGCAAAAATCTCCGTCTTCGACTCGGTTTTTTCTCGCCACCAGCACTCATGCTTCTTGCTAAAATATTACTTAGCTTCGTGTTTATCGATTTTTTTTCGGAAAGATTAGATGCCCTTATATTACTTTTAAATTACTATTAAAATTGAACAAATATGGTTGTGATGGAATCTCACGCAATTGGTTTAAAGCATATCGAAATCATCGATCCCAAATTGTAAGAGCATCAATATATCATATACAGTAATGGACAAAAGAATATAGACAAATTGATATTGTGCTGTATTTCTTTTTTAACGTGTTTTAACCTGTATACATAATTCGTTATAGCATAATACTCACGTATAGATAAATAAATTCATTAGACTCCATTCAATAAAAAACTATGAAGGACAAAAATATATAGACAAAGCAAAACAATTATAAAAAAAAGAAGCAAATTTCATGAATTATAGAAAACCAACCATGTTTGTTAATATTTTGTAGCATAACCATTATTATCAATCACCGCCTGGCAACGTCTCGGCATAGATTGTAGAAGTTTCTTGATATAAGATTCATCAATCTGTCTCCACTTGTGCTCTAAAGCGGCAAAAAGTTCATCATTGTTTGAATAATTTTTATCTCGTATTTGCTTATCTAAGTATTCCCATAGATTTTCAATGGGGTTTATATCAGGAGACTGTGAACGCCATTTGAGAACTGGTATTTTTTCATCCAGAAAGAATTTCTTTGCGAGATTTGAAGTGTGCTTCGGGTCACGATCTTGCTGGAAGATTGATCTTAAGGGCATATTGTCTTCCATATAGGGTAACATGACATGCTTTAGTATGTCTGTGTATACAAACTTATCCATAATGCCATCTATTCATCTTAAGGTCCCATCCCAAACCCCGAAAAGCACCCCCAAACCATAACAGACCCGCCTCCATGTTTGACAGTGGGCAAAGTGTACTTTGGGTTCAATCTTTGTCCACTTGGACGTCTAACGTAATGAACACCATCTGATCCAAACATATTGAACTTGGATTCGTCACTGAAACATACCCTCTTATAATCACAGATGCTCCAACCACGATGCAACCGTGCAAATTATAATCGGTCCTTACTGTTTTTCCTCGAGATTAGCGGCTTCTTCCTCGGGCGACGTGCAAATGACTTCAAATCATTTAATCATCTACTTATAGTTTTCGTAGAAACACTGACAATTCCTTTTGTATCGATTTCGGCTTTTATTTGTCTTGGATCTTTGGGCGAAATTACTTTTATTAATCTAACTGATCTAGCATGTAGTTTTCTAGGCCGACCGGTTCTCTTAGAGGCTTCCAAGATACCCTTTTGTTTATATTTGTTCAATATTGCTCAAACTGCTTTACGCTTCAGTTTCAAATTTTTAGCAATGTCGACTTGACGTTGACCATCTTCGTATAACTCAATGATCTTAGTTTTCACATCGACAGACCAATAAAAATGTATTCGCAATATGTATTATACTTAAAACAAAACACCAAGCAAATATAAATCAAGACAATCGCGCTAAGAAAACGAATGCGAAATGCACTAAATGCAGGATACAAATGCCCTATTTATACAGGGTGATTCACAACTCGCATGTTTTCAAGGTCAGTTTACTTACATTGTTGTTGTTGTGTCTGTTGTTGCTGCTGTAACCTCAGATCGTGCTGTCGTTTCAGCGCAATAAGCTGTTGACTTGCCGTGTTGAGGTAGTAAAAGAAATACTTTAACGAGGCGTGCGCATCATAGTACGCTGCTTCTAGTTTCATCAGAGATGCCAGGACAAATATGATCCATTTCATATCCAGCTGTGGGATAGCCTTCTTCAGACGATTTAGTGTCACCTGAAAATCCAAAAGACCGACTTATACAGGCTCCGTCAGAAAGAACGCATGTTTTTTACAGTCAAAATAAGTACGGGAAAAAATATTTTATTATATCGAAATACTCAGAAATACATGCCATTTTTTGAGTAAAACAAAATATACGTTCTAAAAACTATGTCAATCAAGCCTCTCCCGAAATGCGTCAGCCTGCATCCGCACAGGAATTTGGGTTACTTCTCTTCTTATTTCCCCCTTCACGAGGGTCCGAGTCTTGCTGTGGTAAACTTTTGATATCAGGTAGCACCATAAAAAAATCACACGTTGACAGGTCCGGGGAGCGAGGGGGCCATGGAATATCGCCAAGACGTGAAATGAGACGTCCTGGGAATTTTTGCGAAGTTCCATCGAAGTGCGAGCTGTAAGGGCCAATAATCATCGTTGGGCCTACTGCACACCAAACTGTAACTTTCCGAGTATGCAGGGAGTGCTCATTCAACTGTTGGGGGTTCACTGGAGACCAATATCGACAATTTTGTTTATTGACATATCCATGTAAATGAAAATGTGCTTCATCGCTCATAAACAACGACATGTCATTGTTATCCATCTGTTCAATCATGAGCTGTGCAAAATTACACGTTGTGCACAATCCCCTGGCAACAGTTGTTGACTTGGATTTTGTAAGGATGGAACACTAAATCCTTCTTCAAGATGCGGTTTTTTCTTCATCACATTACCTGTTGTGTTGAATGCCTCCAAGCACGCATCTCAAAATGGTGTTACGGTCTAGCACTGTCCCACGACGTGGAACACGAAAGTGAACGCGAAACTCACGTTCCGTTCTAACGACATACTCGCCATTTTGAAAGTACCGACGTACAGTGAACACACGATGCTCAACGTTCCAAGCCATCTTGCCAACTGAAACGGCACTTCTCCCACTATCCAACACGCCCTTCCCTACCGATACGGGACCAGCCCACTCGATGTAGTACCCATTCGAAAAACATGCGTTCTTTCTGACGGACCCTGAAGTTTCTAAAAGCATATATCAATGATTCTTAAAACTATCAACTTTTCATTGATTCGCATACTATTGTGAGGGGTAACATCCAGGGCTACTGATGACAAAATACGAACCAAGTTCTATGCTTTAAGAGATTTAAATAGGGAATATGCTTGTTTCTCTATTTTTGTATTCTAGGTCGATTATTTACGTTAATATAATACCGTAAGCACATCCTTCATTCATGACGTTGATTTAAGCGCAGCATTTATCGCGCGCTGCGCAGTGACGTGACAACTCATGGTCTATTATTTTATTCTATAAGTAGGTATAAGTAGTTCAGTACCGGGAACTGATACTCAAATTTTCGCGAAGACCGAGAATAGGGGAAGACGGATGTGACGTCATCCAAATGTCAAAAAATCATATGGTACGGTTGACCGCCTAATCTAGGTGAGGTACTAGCGGGTGACAGGTCTTATGTCAATGCCATTTTAAAAACCAGGCATCACAACATGAACATTTTTCTTGGCAGTGCCGAAAATTGAGTTAAATTATTAAATCATAAATCAACCACTTGATAGATTATTTTATTCGCGCAAGAACTGCTCAGATTAAAATCAAGACAATTTATAAAAAGGACAACTTGTAAAAAAGTCGCAAATACCCTGGTCACACTTGCAGCAAAATTATGGAAATATAAATAGCTGGAATGCAGAGTTGACCTACTCGCCACAAACGCGCTCCTTTGTTGCGCAAATTTCGCAGCTATGATCAAAAGCCTAAGATACTCAATAAGGGTAATAAATGTTAAGCCCTCTCCAGACTCACGCGCGGATCGCGAGCGAAGCCGCGAACTGCCCGCGACCCATGAGTGTAGATCCCATTCGCGTTTGTTGTCGGTTTTTTGTCCCGCGACAAAGGGTTCGCAAGGCGCGAACATATCGCGAATATGACTAGGCTCCTCATTCGCTGGTGGCTCAGTTGCATCATAGCGAGAGCCGGGAGTGGTTGTGTTTTCCACTTTTTTTCAATTGTTTCAGTTTTACTTATATATGCGTAATTAGAAATTGCCAAAGCGCAAAGTAGCCCAGCAGCAGCAGCAGCAATTTCACCGACCATATTCTTCAAGGGCGCAAACTACACTGTTAAGCAGGCGCGAACATCTGCGGATGTGGAAATGTAGGAACAGTTTTCGGGATTCGCACCGAGATCCGCGCCGCGTTGATGATGGTGCCTGAAAGCGTATGCTGTGCTGATTATACTTTTTCGCTCCAATTACAAAATCTAGGGCACGATTCCTGCATTCAAAGGCCAGAAATTGAAATATTGGACGCATAAGCACTATGGTTGTTTATATTATTTAGTAATTGCGTCTCATATCGGTGTACTTAAATTTTATTTCGCGTCTTGTAATAGCACGTGTGACCATGGTTCACTCTAAGAGCCGTATTCTTACAGTTGTATCGCCCCCTTGATTTTCACAGTTTTCTACTGTGATAACGCTCTATTTTGAGGTTATGTCACAAATATCTATTTGCACCGAATTGATCATGCTTTTGATTCATATCATGTTTTATCAGCCTGAAATTTCCTGCAATTTAAAAAGAAAACAAAACTTCACAATAGGAGAGCGCTGACGCTGACACGGAACCCATGAAATCTAGAAATACCCCAGCTTTTCTGAAGGAGAGTAAATACTATGAAAATAATCAACTTCAACCAGAGGACCATGTATACCCTATTTCACGAGAATCTATCACGCCGTGTCGTCTACTGAGGTGAACAGCTGATCAGCAAGTGACATTTTTGTGTTAAGCCGGTCCCACCCGATGTGGCGAATGCCTTACAACGTTGGACACATGGCCATTCGCCACATCGTGTGGGAGAGCGCTGACGGATTACACGTGTCCAACGTTCGCCACATGGCACGTTCGGGCTCTTGTCGGTAAATTTGACCCGCGTCAAAGCACGTTACAAGGTTGGAAGCATGGTCATGTGTTGGATGGTTTTAGGTTAGAAAAAATAGCGGCAAAAAACATTATTTACTTGTTTGCTGTGATTGTGGTGAGTAGTAGTATGTGGGAGGTATTTTGATTTGAATACCTACCTATTCATAGTAATGTATGTTCCGTAACTATCTGAGGAGAATGAATTAAATTAGAACACATACAAATCATAGGCTGTCATAACAACACTTTTTTCATGTTGCTAATATTTTGTACGTCTCGCAAGTGAGTTATGGCTGGCCTAAGGATATGTATTTTAGTAAATTATAAGTGCTTCCGGCTGTTTCATTATAATGTCCTATTGCAATGCAAGACTAGTTGGGAAATATATTGATATGCATTTCATAACTAACAAAAACGATTAAATAAATGATAACTCTGAAAGTAATATCAGGTTTTTGATAAAATGTTGACCCTAGAGTACTACTATGAAAATGAAAAAGCTCTGCGGAGTTATCGTCGAAAAACACACAAAAAACGGTCAAACTTCGTCTATCGACAGATATGAAATTACTTTTCGGCGCTCGAAAAAATTGTTTCATCGTGCATTTTGTATGATTTTTCCTTCAGTTGTAAAGGTTCAAGCGCGACACTGTCACCGATAGTAGACGTTGGCGCCACCATGCGTCGAACGTCCGAGACTAAAAAGTTCATCCCATCATTTAGGAGACACACTTGCCAATTGCGGGGTGTCGAACGTTGTATACAACGTTGGAAGCATCGTGTGGAACCTGCATTGGTCTGCAACGTTGGCAATAAACTTTTCTAAATAAAAGAGCTGTTAGCAAGTACAAAATGAATCTGTATAGCGTACAAAAAACCAAAACAAAATTCGGCTCTGTCTACCTGGCGTTGACGGATCCGTCAGAATTATGTGTCCTGTGCCAATATGGGGAATTTTAAGATATTATACTAAATAATCAGCTGTCATTCTACCGTGATGGATACTCGTGAAATAGGGTATGTGGGATAACTGTAAAGTTGTTACCAAATCGCAATATTTCACCTAATATGCTTGACAATGACATAAGTTGTCATGGATGATACGATGTGCAAATACCGAACATCACGAAACGCATAGAAGGCGATAATTCAGGCATAAAAGCAGCATCAAAACTTGAAAAACGAATTCACAAACAACTGACAGTTAACTTTCAAGTCATAGCTAGCTGGCTTGACAGTTAACCAAAGATTGAAAAACCGTATTTACTCGTAGATGAAATAAACTCTTTGTCTTGATCTTGGACTGGTTAAATTGTGATTCTTACCTTCAGAACATCCTGTGGGTTTGGAGGTAAAACGAATATGCGCTTGAATGTTTCTTTCATTGCCACAGCGTATTCAGCCACTTTATCATCATGGATCTGCGGCATATATCTCGATTCCTTGAGATACAATTTTGGATCGATAAATCGATATAACTCCAACGTTTTACTGAAGTTAGAGCAACATGCCTTGAGGCAGTGTACTCGTATGAGGTACTTCACTAGAATACTAGTTACGTTCCAAATGTCTTGTTGATGCGACGAGTCTCGAGTTTGAAGTATGCTTAGTGGCTGCGTATCGGTACTACCTTCTCTTCTTTGATTCTGAACAACGTTGGTCCTGGAAATTGGAAATTTCAAGCGAACGCTCTTTTGATCAAAGGAGGACAATGCGTGGAATACCTTTAAAATCCATCAGTCAATTTCATTTACAACAAAAACACAACGATGTAGCTAACCTTGCACACTTTCACATTTATAATATTAGTAGGAAGTAAGAATGTCGACAGTCGACAATTAATTAGATAATTTTCAGAAAATGAATGAAAACAAGGGTCCTCTATTACGCAATTTCCCTAAGGAAGGCTTCATAAGCGGTACAGTTAAGAGGATCTGTTTAGTTATTTTGTAAGACATTGTGAAACCAAAAACTGTGAAACGAACTGTCATTCATTCAGCTTAGTATAAATGTAGCAGTTAATAAACATTTTCAGTCCGTTTGGCAACACTGCATGTTCGCTTCCTCGATAGATGCCAAGTCATCCAAGTGCGAACCGCCAATCCAAATTCAATTCGTTTATAGATGCTGTGTTTTTGCTGTAAACCCTTTATTCCAAGTCAAACCAAAGGTCAAAGAAGCCGATCTGAAGATTTCAAAGAAAGTCGACGCGGTTTCCTCTCCTCGTATAACTACTATATAGTGTCTGTTTACCTTTGCAGTATGATATGGCTGTTAGATGACAGTGGCTGGACAATATTGATTTGTGTAATATTATCCACATTTTGCTGGGAATGATTCCGAAATGTTTCAGTCGCTTGGCTTACTTGTGGAATGTTCCTAAAATGCATAGTTTCCAAATAAATACATGAAACCAAATTGAAGTTTTTCTTAGCAGGATTTGTAAACTCCTGAGTAAGTATTTCATTGCAGTTGCACAATATCAATGAGAAACTCTATCAACTTTATGCAGGGTGTTTCCAGAAAGTCATGCCAGTATTTCTAGGGTAGAAAGTACATCCAAAAATAACAAAAGATTTTCCTATGAATACGGGTTCAAAGATGCTCCTGTATCGAGATACAGGGTAATAAGGTTTTATTTACGAAATTGAAAAAAATATATCTACCATATAACCAGGGACGTAGAAACTGGGGTACCTAGACCCCTAATAGGAAATGCTTTTCGGAAAAAAGAAGAACATTTTATACAATACCATTACAATAAAACCGTACGCCAGTGAAACTTTACTCACTTTTTGAGCTATCTGGGGTGACAAATTAAGTCTATGGTCAATTATAACGATTTATGTAAACATCTCCAATCTCATAATTAAATTTACAGACGTTTTCCTGGAAAAGCTGACTACACTACACTTAGACGCATTAAGAAATAGATTAGTCTCGCCACTTCAACTACTAAAAGCATCGATATCCCGCTGAAGTGCAATACAATCAGCCTCAGACTCGATAATTTCAAATCACCCTCAAAAAAGAGTTTATTACAACTTAAATATTGGGCAATATTAAGGTGAACAATATGGACCAAGATCTGAACCCTGAAGCACTCTCTTTCATTAAGTTAATTTAAAAGTATGTCATGGTCCACCCTATCGAAAACTTTAGCAAAATGTTTCTATGTTTTGCTTTGTCGATATTACTTTTGTCCTTCATAGTTGCACTTTTTTTCAATTAATTTTTTATTGAAGGGAGTCTAATGAATTTATTTATGTATAAGTGAGTATTATGCTATTACGAATTATGTATACAGGTTGGTGTATTAATGAAACAAGTTAAAAAAAACAAATACAGCACAATATTAATTTGTCTATACACCTTCGGAAAAACCATTATTATACATTATGATGAGGAAGAGAGATGGAAATATACAAAAGTATGTAGTAGGTGCGTGAACGACACTCGATTGTAGGATCCTATCTGGCCGCGTCGGAGTGTGACGGACAACGGGGTAAAGTAGAAGAGTGATAAAAGAGAGATGGCAGAACGGGCGCTGGCGCCTGCCGCTTAGACGGATGCGCTCAACAAATGCGATTTGTTTCTCCCATTCGCAGAGTTGCCGATACCAATATGTCATATTTCTAAGAAATCTAAGTCTACCCAAATTTCGGGAAAAATAGCTGCGGATACCACATAAGAGTATTCCAAAAATGAACAAAGTTCAAACTATTAAAATTGTATTAATGTTTCATGGTTCAAATCATATTTTTCATGTTTGTATATTGTTGTATAAATGATTTTGTAATCCCTATTCTTGTTGCCAGTAGAGATACAACAGTATTGAGAGAAATCATGGACCGCTAGATAGGGCTACAACTACCATATGACTATCAAATAGTAGTGATAAACAGGGTTTGTTTATAGCACAGTTGCCTGGTGTGGCGAATTTGCGCCATAGGGGCAATTTGACAACTTTGAAAGACAACTATAACGGGTACTATGGTGCCCGGTATTTGGGAATCTGGCAATACCTGATAATTCCTAACGTTTATTACGCCAGATTGTTTGCTGACTTGCGCAGTACAACATGACAATCAACGTGACTGAGCACCTGGTAACCCTGGTTTAAGGTGTTATATTTAAAGAGCTTGGGGCAGTTAGGTATCTAGGTCACATTTTTTAATGTATTTCGAGAAATCCGTACTGTTGAGTAAATACTAGATCAGGTTTCTTGCTTACTTTGCTGAAAATTCTACAATAGACGTACATTTTGAGAAACAGAGATTTGGTGACGACAAAATCGTAAAAATATAACGCATTTTCGTAAAATAATTTCTTTGTTGAAAAGACTGTGGCTAGATGACCCATTGAACGAGTATAGTGTCCCGCTCCGCTTTGAATATTCGAAACACTATACTCCAGCAGCATTCAGCTTCAATGTTATCTTTATGAAGTTCTAACGTCTAGGCCAGGCTGATTAAAAGCTTGAATGAATCAACACTTAACTCTAAATTCCCCACAATTCGGGAAGCTCTACTCAAATTAGCAACACAGCGTATCTGCCTATTATTCTCATTCGTGATACAGGTCTGCGGTCTGCTGCAAATTTCAGTATGCGTTGAGTCGACAGAAGAAGTACAGTAGATGCGCGCATTACACACCAGTTCGATTGGACGTCCTGTGAACCGACTTCGGTGATTTCGAGATTTTACGAAATCACCTAAATCACTCTACTTATTTTTATGAATGGATAATTGGTTTTGTAGCAAATAAAGGTTGCGTCTCATAACAAAAATAAGAAGATACCCACTCTAACAAAAAATAGTAAACTCTTAAAAATGTGTAACGAAAATAAAAAGATATTCTAACAAAAAAATAAGTTCTCAAAAATAAAACGCAATAATGAACACAAATGTTTCAAAGGTCCTTCACAGCTGGGGCTCAAAAACGTCTCCTTCATTCAATGAACAGTATGTCAGACGGTTATAAAACTCCTGACGAACTCTCAAGATGGCAGAAGGCTGTATTTGCCCGAGCGCTTCAACGATTTTCACCTGTAGGTTATGCAAATTGTCTGCTCTCACATTAAAAGTGTAAACAGTACTTTTCGCATAACCCCACAAAAAAAAATCATTGGGCGCTAGATCGGGTGATCTAGGATGCCATTTTATTGTTCCGTTACCGCCAATAATCCGGTGGCCGAACACACTTTCAAGGTAAGTGTGTACGACCGCCGCATTATGCGCCGGGCATCCATCTTGTTGGAACCAAATATTAGCGAGATCAATGCCAAGCTGCCTAATTGTAGGAACAATCTGCGTCTGTAGTAACGCCAAATATTTTGCAGCCGTAAGAGTTCCATCAATAAAGAACGGTCCGATAATGTTATTACCTAGAATTCCTGCCCACACATTCAGTTTCTGTGGATACTGCGTGCGGACGGGAATTTTCCCGAAACCAATACCGAACGACTGAAGGGTTGTGATGACCGTGGAGAGGGAATGTGGATTCATCAGTAAACAAAATGTTACCAATAAAACTTCCATCCCTGTTTGCCTTCTCCATGACTGTTTCACAAAACTCCATTCGACGGTATTTGTCTAAAGGAAATATTTCTTGAACCTTTCCAACCTTGAAGCTATGGTAGCCGTTACGATGCAAAATATTTCTTGTTGTTCTGGGTGTGAGATCGGCTATTGGTACCATTTCAGCAATTTTTCTGCTTGAGCATGGCTCAGATACTTCTGCAGCGGCACAAACAGCAGTTTCGATCTCCACCGTTTTCTCGCTAATTTTTGGTTTCCAACCTTCAGGGTGCATGCAGCTATGGCACTTATGTAAGCAGCCCACCGTCTTGAATTTTTCGTAGGTATTTATAACCGTTGCGTGAGACGGAATTGGCCGATCTGGGAAGCGTACCGCAAATAATTCAACAACCGCGCGTGCTGAATTATTCTGGATGTACCATTCTATCATTTGAAACTTTTCTTCTTGCGAGTACATTTTTAAGATATTTTGGATTAAATAAAGACGCACCTTTCCTACACAAAACCCAACCGCAGAGTGAGTCATGAATCCCTTATCGCACTTGACGACGGCACGCGCGTTAACGGTAGGAAATATGTACGAATAGCGATGAAAGTAGACGAGCCGATGCGCTGTTGCCAAGAAATGATTTCCCATGTATAACAATGGTTTTTCCTAAGGTGTATATGTACTTTTGTCCATTACTGTATATTAATATATTGTGGAAAGTCTGGAAATTACAGATTGAGAAAACTCACCTTTGAGCTGTATTATCAACTCTACAACTTGAAGAGGCTTCACAGCTCGTCTGTGGCGAGACAGCAGACTGGGAAGCAACAGATGGTTGCACCACCTCATTCTGCAAAATGGTTGCTCTGGATGTCGATGTTGAAATATCCGCCGATCGATCAGCCAAAGAGTTGCGTTCTTCAGTAGATTCCATGTTGGGTTTTGAGGATGATACTTGCCTGCCGTCTTCTCTTCGTCTTGCAATCATCTGATCTATTTCATGAAGAGCGTCATTTATTTGGGCATCAACAGATTCCAATGGCACCGGTTTTTCACGAATCGTCTTCTCCGCAACGACAGTCATACAACTTTGGCCTAAATGATCACCAGCCGCACATTCTTGATTGTTCAACTTTGGCATATCCAATGAACTGGGTACTTTCTTTCTACTATTTCTAAGAGCAGCACATTCTTGATTGTTCAACTTCGGCATATCCAATGAACTGGGTACTTTCCTTCTAATATTTCTAAGAGTAGCCTTACCAGAACGTTTACCATTAGAAATATCCTTATCAGGAGACGTCACTTCTCTGACACTAGCACCCCTTGAAGTATTGTTATCAACACTTGCAGATTTCGCAGCCACATCATCACTAGGCGTATTCTTTTCAACACATGGCGATCTGTTCCCAAGCACCATACTATCAGCAGACAAAACGTTAGTGACGTTTTCAAGAGATAGGCTTTGGGACGGTGCTTCAACACTTGCAGGTTCTTCTGTAGGCACCGTTTCTAAAGGAGTTTTGTTACCACTACTTAGAATCCCATTGTCAAGTTCATCTTTTATATACACAACATCCGTAGGAGTTGGCTGGTCTACCTCCATTTTGACCTCTACACGTCCTGCCACTTTTCTATTGACATTCAACAGTTCTACCTCCGTGAAGATGCTGTCTGGTTCATCCTCTCCCTCTTCTTTCTTCACTCTTTCAATCTCTGTTTCTTCTATCATTGTCCCATTTCCAGGCTTGGTAGGAGTAATAGAAACACATGTAGCTTGTAGGTCCAAGTTATCATTCACGGTCTCATCGCTTCTGTACAAAGTAATTTGTTCATTGATACCAGCTGTTTCTACCAAAAGATCTAAGATTTCACTAGCGTCAACTGTTGCATGTTCTTGTTTAGCCTCGGCCTCTTCTGTGAGGTCAACTGTAGGAATATCTGGCTTATCGTCCACTAGATCGATAATGGGAATATATTCTTCAATATTCATTTTATTGAAAACTTTCACTGAACCCTCTATTACCTCTGGTGGCTTCTTTATGGTAACTGTAGCAAATTCGGGAAATTCTGTGAAAGAACTGGTAGCACTATCCTGTGTAAACTGGAATTCTGGAAGAATTGAACATCTAACAAACTCGATGACTATCAACGACTCGTTAGGTACTTTTATACTGAATGATTTGTAGATATTGACAGTGGAGAATTTTGCATCTAATATTTCAGACTCGACAATCCCTATGTTCATTTCGGAAGATGGAATTAAGGTAACGTTTTTCTCGTCAAACAACTTTTCAATAACGCCTACATTCTCGTCAATATGCGCGTCAGCCAACGAAACAATGTGTGACTTTATGTCAAGTTCTATTTTTCTATTGACCTCAATCGAAGACATTTCATTTTCATCACCCAAATTTTCACTATTTGTACACAGTCCCTTCTCTTTTGTAGGGGGCATTTGGTTTAATTTACGTAACGTGTCTTCACAGACACTATTTCCATTTACTATAGATTTAACTGCTTCCTCCAACGGCTCAACTGCCTTCTCAACATTTTCAGACAATAAATCCTGATTGTCAACATCTTCAGAAGTATTATCTAATGTATCTTCTTCACATAGTACATCGCAACTTTGGTTTGTTGTACCTTCAGTATCTGGTTTATCAAAAACATTATTTCGTCCTTTCTCTTCAATGTTAGGTTTGCTTGTTTCTGTATCTTGTCCATCACTACTAACTTGAAGCAATGTGGGCAATGCATCTTCAGTTCTATGGTAACCTGATTTTGTTTCACTATCTAAATTTTCTTTATTACTTAGAGTTAGTACATCTGCATCTGATGTAAGAGATATTTCCATAAGTTTGGTGGATTTAATGGTAGAATCTTTTGCAATGAGAACTATCAGTTTAGGACAATCACTACTTATTCCACCATTAGGCTTGACCATTTTTTCAAGTTTACCTTTTATTTGCACATGTCCGGCCACCGCTTCATGCTCGGTTTTAGACCTTGTCACCAATTCTAAAGATTTTTTTGTCTTGGAATCATTCAAGGGAACTCTTTTTTCTTTCTTCCTGATATTACCAGTTATTATCTTTGGAGTCGTGTTAATTCGCTTGGATTTTGGACTTCCTATCTCCTTGCTATCGACAGATCTGGTTTTTGACATCTTTTTATCACCTGCAATTGTTTGTTTGCGACTCCTACCTTCCGAGTCACTACTGCCTCTAGAATCGCTCGACTTTTGCTCATGTTTTTGATAACTAGAATCTCGAGAACAGTCTTTATTGCTCTCTAGAGAAGTATCAGAACCAAATTGTTTGGTGGTTACAGTTGACCGATTTTTGATACTGTCTTGTGAAGAACTGTCATAGTCTGAAAAAGTGGTATGTCTTCTGTCACTTCCTTTCTTCGGTATTCTATATCCGTTACAGGAACTTCTTGCTTTGTAACTAAATGGAGATCTAGAACTACTTTCAACCTCAGAAATCTCACCTAATTTTAGAGCGCTCGTATTATCTGGATCAGTTCTAATATTGTTTGAGGTCTTCGGAAAACTTTTCTGACTAGATGGTGAATCGCACTTAACCCTGTCAGTTCCTTTTGAAGATTCCGATCTAGGAACACTCTGGGATGATTTTGAGGTATCTTGGTTATGAACTCTTCTTCTTGCATCAGTACTACTTCGCCTATTCATTGACCTTGAAGACCGAGTGGAAGTGCGGCGATCAACATACCTACCACTATTTGACGATCTATCTTTCGAATACGAATCACTCGAACTCACATCTGTAGGTGATCTGAAAGGACTCGAAGGTGATCTGCTACTTTCAGATCTTTGGGAGTCAAGAGACAGTCTGAGATCTGAATACCTACGATGAGCTATTTTCATAGGTACACGGGTTTCCATCACTGAAATATTCGGAGGTAGGCTCAGTTCAATACTTGAAGGGTCTGTGAGAACGCTGTTTTGATCCAAACTCCTCCTACAGTTGTTTATTTTTGACGCAACTGGATCTGGTCTTGATGTGTAAGAATGATATGGTCTACTTTGATTATTACGTTTATGGATACTTATTGTCTTTGAGGTATCTGATAACTGATAATTTTTTATGTTCAGATCATCATCACTGGGGTTTGGAAGGATACTATTGTGGTGATCGCTGGTATCCACTAAAATGTCAGTCGTATCTCCAAACAACTTCCTGACATCTTGTGAATAAACATCATCTATGTCCGAAAAGCCGCTTTTTCTGGTAGACTGTGACTTTTTAGGTATCGTGTATCCAGGTGTTATCTGATATGAAACACTTTCTTTTGACTTGGATCGCTTGTACAACAGATCAACCTTGTTATCAACTTCAACAGGTTTTCTTTCGGGTACAAGTTTTTGTTTGGATGTTTCTAGATTTTCATCGGGGGTAACTGTGGTACTACTAACATTTGATATTCTATCTTCTAATGCTGCAGCCTCAGCTCGTTTCATTGCACAGTTTCTTTCCTTCTTTCTAATAATTGCATTCTTGGCTTTGTCATTAGAGAATTTTGGTATATTAACTTCGTCGACTTTTTTCGTTGAACTGATACATTCAAATGTACTTTGAGGTGTATCTGTTGGTTTTGTAGGTTCCTTAAACCTCTCTATCACACTGCTTCTTTGGAAGTCTTTTTGAAGATCATTTGATCCTATATTGCTAGACTCATTTCCGAGCTTGTCTTCAGACGTTTCTGTCTCACTGATCTTTCCAGATGTATTTTGAGAATGTTTTGATTCCTTTGTACTAACTTTATGCTCGGGTGGTTCTGATTCTTGAACTTGATCTGCTTTTTTCATTAGACTATTTCTTCCAGTCGTATCTTCAGGGTTTGTTTCCTCTGTGGCCTCCCCAGTGCCTTCTGATATTTTTAAACAACTTTCATCGAATTTTCCTTTCTTTGGAGTTAATTCTACAGAAGAAATAGAAATGTCCATGTCACTGACTGACGTACTTGAGGTAGAAACACTCGGTGTATCCTCATGAAAGCAATCTGTTAAATAAGTCTTTGTAGTAACGATGTTGCTCAACAAATCAGAATTTTGCGTAGATTGTACATCTGTACTTGTACTGGCAATGTTTTCATTATTAGTAACACAGGGTTGCTTATTGTTTTCAGAAACATCGCGAACGACTGTTGCTTCGGGTTCATTTTCAATCTCTCTGTTACATAATCTTTTTGCGCTTTCCTGATCTTGAGACGTTTTTCTGTTATCGTCTGTGGGTACCCGACGTAAATTTCTACGGGAATCATCACATCTTCTGGTTGCTTCTGAACGGTTGTAGTGGAGTTCTCTGAAAGCATGAAGGATGTTATGAATAAGAACGGTAACACGGACAACATCATTTAATAAATAGTGTAACTCATTATTTTTGATAGCACTTTTGAGTCACATTACAGGTATACATTGTAAAGGCCAGCGTTAGCCTATTGAAAATATAGTGCAAGGGTTCATTCGAGTATTTGGTAAGCATCAAAGGCGGGGGGGTCTTTGCTTTACCTATTTTTGATGACGTAGGAGCCGCAAATTCGTAAGCAATATTTATTACCTATTTCTCATCTTTTTGTGTAGGTGTCAATTTAAACAAATATGGCAACTCTACTTGTCGGGGATTCCCCAAAATAAATGATATACTGATTTTGTCTGATCATAGCTACTGAAAGTAAAGACAAAACTAATGCTAGGAGACATCAAAGTTGGAAAACCGTCCAGTCATTCAATGTTTATACAGAAAATTCATCATTTATATGTAAAGATTATTCAAAGATTGTTAAAAGAATATTGATTTTCCTAAATAACGTATAACCCAAAAATTTGGCACAAAATTCGTTGGCTTTAATTTTAACAAACACAAAATGATATTATGTTGCCTCTGGAAACAAAAGTTTGTTTACTTACTTTACTGTCAGTTGACATTTATTTGTTTTGAAGTTTTCGCTTTAAGATGTATAAATTAGAAATAAGAAAAAGTATCTAAGTTACATTTACTGCGCAGACGTTAGAGAGATTGGTGTGAAGAGTAAAAAAATGTATCTTTATTTTTGGGTTAAAAGAACAACAAAAAAAAACTCATTTGATGAGGGAGGCGGCATTCAACACCGTTGCCCTTCCATGCGACCCCCTGCTTTTCTGCTTGCTTAATACTTGAATGACGTCTAACGGATGGATACTTACTCATCGTCGTCCCAATTATTACGAAAAACATCATCTAGGTGAGATCTAGTTCTGGATCTAGGCCTTTTTCTTGGATTGCTGTCTCTTGGCCGATAACCCGAAGGTTGAATGGAATGACGCCTGTCAAAAATGTCAAGTATAAATATGTAAAAATGAGCAAGTATGCAAAATCGAGGGGATCAAATCATCTTAAAAAAATGGCGTTAAGTCTTCCAATATGTAGCATGTACAGGTATCTGAGTACAACTTTTGCGCAATCTGGTATCTCTCTAGTGCTGGTGGCAGTGTCGTCGTTGCTGAATTCAGATCGGACCCTCCGCAGGTGGCATATCGCATGTTGCTGGAGTCATAGACGTAAATATTATGCGAAATATGAGTGGGTAATACTATCAGTGATCACAAATTTATTTCACTGATACCAAAGATGCAACATTTACAACCACCTAAAGCCCACAGTTTTCAACCAGAACCAATTTTTTGTTTGAAAATGATCAGGAGCCTCTGAAATGCCAGAAAAGCCGAGCGATTTTGTTTTTTCGTTTGTAGCTAGCCACTAGACCGGTTTTCAAAAACTAAAAAGTTGAAAAGTCAAAGTAAAAAAGTAGTGCGAGTTCTACATATTTTAATCAGCAACCAAACTACCTGCTAGGTATGTTTTCGGTGGCTCTAAATGGCATTAATATCATTTGTCACGATGTGAATCTGCCTAGATCGCCACCAAATAAACGTCTAGGGATTCTTGTCGCCTCAATAAATCCTCAACTTTATTTAATTCACGACACAACAAAAAGCAAGAGGGATGTATACTTTATCTGAAGTCACTTGAAACACTGTGAAATACCGGGTGCGTTTTATATATCTATATTTAACACGCTCTGTTGCTGCAAAAATGGCCAAATTTCGCAGCAAATATCCCCCGTATAAGAGATCAAAGGCAGTTTCACCGGTCCACGTGGAGTAAAGCACGCCTATGCGTGGACATAGCCAATGAGAAAGCGTGTATTTCAGAGCTCCGAATAAGTGCAGGTGGCTACTGAAAATTGAAACAGTTTAGCCAGTGCCGTGTAGCGGTGAATAAACGTGTTTTCTTTAGTCTGTCCGTGTTTTTTCATAGATTTTATTAGTTTGTGTGTTTTTGACTTTTGAATACTCAGTTTACTTGTTGATTTAATTGTTGTGTTGATTGTTCTTGTGTGTCCTAAATATGGCTCTTTGGAGACCTTGGGAAAATGCTCCAAGCCACGAGGAGATGGTTGATGAACCTGTGCAGGCAGAATTCTTTCATAAAGATTTAGAGGAACAGACCCAAAGAGTAATCCTAAATATGTATGATTGTCTGAAAAACGAAAATCCAGATTCCTCGCAAAATCAAATTTTATACAGAATTTGTATCCTGACAAAAATCAGTCGGTCTACCATTTATCGGGTTATAAAAAGGGGAGATGTAGTCAACCATTCCTTCCACAGAAAGCGCATAGGGCAAAAATTAAAAAGAATAGACGTGGGTTTTCAGGAAGATATTCGTCGTATAATATACGGATTTTATAAAGAAAATTTGGTGCCCACGTTGGAAATGATACGGGATAAATTAAAAGATTATCCTGAAGATTTTTATAATTACAAATGCTTAGACTCACTGCACTGTATTGTAAAACTGTGTGGTTTTCAATACAAAAAATTAGATAAAAGAATGGTGATTATGGAGTCGTCTCGAATCGTTGAATTGCGCCAAGAATTTTTGCACAAAGTTAAAATCTATAGAGAGCAGAAAAGAAATCTGATTTACCTGGATGAAACGTGGTATGATACCCATGATGTTGTGCAGTACGGCTGGGTTGACGACAGCAACAAGTGCATTTTAAATGCACCATGCAACCGTGGAAAACGAATCATTATTCTCCATGCTGGCAGTGAAAATGGATTTATACCTAATGCCTTTCTGTTATCTGCCAAAAATATCAAAGAATCATGTGCCGACTATCATGAGGATATGACCTCCGACTTATTTGAGAAGTGGATAGAGCAGCAGTTAATACCAAACATTTCCCCAAATTCAGTGATTATTATGGACAATGCGCCATACCATTCCCGACAGAAAAACAAAATTCCGAATACAGGCACAAAAAAACAAGACATTATTGATTTTATGAAGGATAAGGGAATGGAAATACCACAAAAATCAACCAAAGCCATATTATTGGATCTTATTAAAAGACAAAAATTTGAAAAAGAGTATGTTGTTGACAATCTGCTTCAGCAAAATGGCCATGAAGTATTACGTCTACCTCCCTATTACTGCATTTTTAACCCGATTGAGTTGGTCTGGGCTGCTTTAAAAAAAGTAAGAAAACATAATCAGACCCCTCAATTAAGTGAATCGCTATTGGCCACAATAAGAGATGCAGTATCTCATATTGCTGCCACAGACCTATGGAAGCAGTGTTCTAGGCATATTATTGAAAAAGAAAATCAATATTGTGTTTTGCCTCCTGTAAATCCCGTTGTAATTCCTCTGCAAGATGACTCTAGCGACAGCTCCGAAGGCGAGGATGATATATAAATACCTATAATGTAAGTCTTTATATACCTTTTTATATACCTCCCTGCTATGTAAATATTTGCCTATGTCAAACGTTGGAATTCTGTAATTTTTCCATTTCTTAACTTTCAGTCAACATAAATTAAACTCCCAATATAAGTATTTTTTATCCCAAATCAAAAAAATAAGAAGATAGTAAAATGCATTTAAACATAAACATTATTATTATCGTTCTAAATAAATGCCGCACGCCTATGATACGTCATGAAATTACAAAGGACGCGCCGACCAAAGGTTTTTATGCTATTTCAAGTGACTTCAGATACACCATACGACAAACAAGGTCGTGCAGGTAGAAGTCGCACCGTCGTTTCCTTTGTCTAAGATGACACGTGATGCTGAAATCTGAATTAATCTTTGATTTCATGTTTAACCTACGGGGCAAGAAGACGACAGCGTGGCACGCCTTTGATATATTTCATGAATATTTCCTTGAACGGAGAGTGAAAAGTGAACCAGCGAGGATCGTGGACTGTTCACACGATCACGATTCAGTTTATTCCCTGAAGCTGACAAAGGATTGCTGATTGTTGTGCTTTTTTGAGTACGGATTTAGGTGGTGTGTTGGCGAAAAGGTTTAGTCACGCGGACAGATAAAAATCAAAGAAAAAGCTCCAACGGCAGGAAGTACTTCCATAGTAAAGAGCAGCTATGTATCAGGAACAGATACGCCTTTCATAATAGTGCCCGGGAGGCACATTTTTTCTCCAAGACCGTACTTATGATCTCTAACAAGCATTGAACGCCACCGTATACGGTTGGTTAGGGTCGCAAGTACCGATAACAGACAGCTCAAATTCAACAATTTTCACTGTTTTCAAGTCTAGGGTACAGAGTAGCACGCTTTCAATCTCTATTTCGTGACTCTTGAATGAGGAGTGAAAAGCGAACCAGCAAGGTCCGTGGACAATTCACACGGTCACGATTCATTTTATTCCATGATCATGAAGCAACTTTTGTTGTGCTTTTTTTTCAGTTCAGATTTCTGGGATATGTTAGCAAAAAGGTTGAGAGTCTCAAGGTCAGATAAAAAAAATAAAAGAAAAAGCTTTGTTGGCTCAGGAAGTGGATACTTACATAAAAAAATTTGGAGGAACACAACTGGGCGGACGCTAACTAAGAAATTGCCACAACTGTCTGAATTTCAGTTTGATTTTCTCCTTAAATGCTTGCTACCAAACACGTCAATGGCTGATTACGATCTGCTTCACTTTCGACTGGCGTGTCCACACTTGAAAATCAAACGTGTTTTTGATACCCAACGTGAGTGGTCGTAGACTTGACTCATTCCCGATAATAGCAGACTTACGACCGGATGTCTCATTTAGACGAAAGTAATTCTACGAACGCGAGAATCACGCTAGTTTGTCATACTTTACGTTAGTACATTTTCATTCAGTCAAAACGGAGTCAGTATTTCTATAGTAGAACATATACAGATTTAACTGGTGGAAATAACTATACTGAGCAAAATGTCTAGTAAAATGTCGCAGGTTAATGAGATTCAAGGTGATTTAGTTTATTTTTCAAAAGATTTTTGCACGCGGCATCTCTCTGGATAGATGTTTTAGGAAGGTGCCTTAGCTCAGATAGATACGCCTCAGGATATAGTGGACAGTTTTGCTACCTTCTTTTCAACAGTTTTTATCCCGTCTGGTCTACTAGGGTCATCTCCTCCAACAAATAATTCTACCGATATCATTTCTTTAAAAAATATAAGTGAAGAAAACGTAATTAGGGCTTCGAAAAGATTAAAGAACAAAATGACGTCTGGATGTGATGGTATTCCAAGTTTTTTCGTTAAAGATTGCATTCATATACTAGCGAAACCGCTGGCTTCCATATTCAACCTAATTCTAAAATCAGAGACATATCCAAATATCTGGAAGATCTCTAAAATATGTCCTATTCACCAAAGTGTAGATATCTCTGATATTTCCAACTATCGCCAAATAGCAATCCTGTGCAATTTCAGCAAGTTGTTTGAGATCATCGCTTATGAAACGGTTTACTGCTCGGTCAGGGGTGCAGTCTCTATTAATCAGCATGGGTTTATGAGAGGCAGATCTACGGTCACCAACTTGGCTCTGATTACTCAATACATTTCTGAAGTACTGGACGGTCAGGGACAAGTTGATGTCATCTACACAGATATTCAGAAGGCTTTTGATCAAGTTGATCATTATGCACTTCTGGATAAGCTTAAAACAGTGGGTATGTCTGATGAAGGTTATTTGTCGAATATGGTGGTCATAGGTCGAGTTACTATCGGGCCACGTCTGGGGTACCTCAAGGGTCAAATCTAGGTCCATTATTGTTTTTAATATTTATTAATGACTTGTCTTTTGAACTGAAGTGTTTCCATTTGTTTTTCGCTGATGACCTTAAAATCTGCACGTCAGTCAAGACAGTCGAGGATTGCGTCATGTTGCAAGATGACTTAGCTCTAATTTCGTCATGGTGTTCACGAAACTGTCTCAGTCTGAATGTTTCGAAATGTAAAGTTATGACTTATACAAGA